AGACCCTGTCTTGCAAAAACAAGGAACAATTGGGCCGTGGTGGCTCACAACTTCAGTCCCGGCATTCAGGAGGCAGAGGCAGAGGCAGGCAAATCTCTGTGAGTTCGAGGCCAGCCTAGTTTACAGAGTGAGTTCCAGGACAGTACAGAGAAAACCTGTCTCAAAAAACAAAACAAAGAACAAAGAAAAGAAAAGAAAAGAAAAAGCAAAGAGCAAGGGCTGGAGAAATGGCCCAGTGGTTAATAACACTGGATGTCTTTTGCAGGACCCGGGTTCAATTCCCAGCACTTACATGGCAGCTCACAACTGTCTGTAACTCTAGTTTCAGGGGATCTGACACCTTCACACAGAATATATATACAAGCAAAGTACCAGTGTACACTAAATAAATCTTAAAAGGAAAAACAAAAAAATGGATATGAAATCTTTTTTTTTTTTTTGAGACAGGATCTCACTATGTAGTCCTGGCTCAGCTGGAACTCACAGAGAGCCACTTGCCTCTTTCTCCTGAGTGCTGGAACTGAAGAAGTGTGCCAACACACACAGCTTAGACTCATCTTCTCAGAGGAAGCCGAAGATGGCAGGCTTCAAAGAACTGCGATGATTTGGCTGGACTACAGCTCTCTGGAAGTGAGTTAGAATACGGGTCTCTCTGGGGGTGAGTTAGAATACAGGGCTCTCTGGGGGTGAGTTAGAATACAGGGCTCTCTGGAGGTGAGTTAGAATATAGGGCTCTCTGGAGGTGAGTTAGAATACGGGTCTCTGGACTCCAGACTCAGCACTCTTCGTGGTGCTGTCACAAGCTGCCACAGTTGGAAGAGTATATGAAGTATGACTGTGGCCATTCTTTCTTACCCCTCCCTCCCTCCCTCCCTCCCTCTTGTCCCCTTTATCTCCCTCCCTCTTTCCCTTACTTTTTCCAGACAGCGTCTCTCTTAATTACATTTCTATTGCTATAAGACACCATGACCAAGGCAACTTATAGAAGAAGAGTTTATTTGGGGCTTACAGTCTCAGAGGGTTAGAGTCCATGACCATCATGGAGAGGAGCATGGCAGCAAGCAAGGCAGGCATCATGCTGGAACAGTAGCCAAGAGCTGGCATCTTGATGTAGAAGTGTACCTGACTTTTTCCTTTGGGCCATGAACCAGCATCCAAATCATGACACAGATGGGGGGACTTATTATTAGTTTTAAATGCTCGGCCTGAGCTTAGCTCATTTCTGGCTAGCTCTTTTAACTTAACCTGCTTCTCTTTATTGGCCTTTGCCTCGGGGCTTTTTACTTTCTTTCTTGCATATCTTACTTTCACTTCTCCTCATGTCTGCTGGCTGGTATCTGCCTGGCTCCTCGTCCCACGTGTGTCCCTCCCTTTCTCCCTTGTTCTTTCCTCTTCCTTCTTTTCTCATTCCTCCATTTCTCCTCCTATTTATCCTCTCTACCTGCCAGCCCCAACTATCTTTTCTCCTGCCTAGCTATTGGATGTTCAGCTGTTTATTAGCCAAACAGGTGCCTTAGGTAGGCAAAGAGAAACAAATACAACACATCTTTAATAATTAAACGAATGCAGCATAAACAAAAGTAACACATCTTTGCCTAATTAAGATAATATCCCATAACATATAAGCATGGGGCAGAGAGAGGGATACTGGGAGTCACCAGAGTCTTTTGAAACTTCTGACCACCCCCCCTCCGTGATATACTTCCTCTAACAAGTGCACACCTCCTAATCCCTCCCAAACAGTTTCACTCACCGGGGACAAGTATTCAAATACATGAGCCTGTAGAGCCCATTCTCATCCAGACCATTCTCACTCTGCAGCCTAGGCTAGCCGAGAACTCACCGTGTAACCTAGGCTGGCCTTGAACTTGCGGCACTCCTCTTGCCTCCGTCTCCTGCATGGTAAGGTTATAGACGTAAACAATCATGCCTGGCTCATTTTTTAAAATTATCTTTCCTAGCCACACCCAGAAGAGAAATTCAACTCAGTCGGGAAAAGCCCATGTGTCAGTTAGTAAAGTTATTACTGTTAGAGACAAAGCATTTGGTTTGTCTCTAACATAATGGTTCACACCTGTAATCTAAGCAAGGCCTGCCCGAGCTACATAGTGAGTTTGAGTTTTGCCTTGGCTACATAAAGACACTGTTTCCAAAATTTTAATCAAATATGTAAGTAAAAGCTCAGCAAGAATCCTGCTGAAAATGTCTCAAGATAGTGGTCACCTGTCCTGAAGAACCAACCTGCTTCCATCTTAAGCCTAGAAGCCTTTTTTGCTGTTGTTGTCATTGTTGTTTTTGTTTTTTTGAATCAGGGTTTCTCTGTATAACAGCCCTGGCTGTCCTGGAACTCACTCTGTAATTCTGTAGACCAGGCTGACCTCAAACTCAGAGATCTGCCTGCTTCTGTTTTCCAAGTGCTGGGATTAAAGATGAGTGCCACTACTGTCAAGCTAATCTCCATACTTAACACCTTTTATCTTCCCACTGTTTTCCTATTCCTTTGCTCACTCTGTAGGCTTTCTTTCTCTCCTTCTGGTCCCCTCAGTAAACAAGTTTGTCTGCTCCTGACCTTTGTACATTTTCTTATTTGCATTCATCCATCTTTCTCCTTCACCTATTTGTTTTCTAGGTGAGTGCTCCTTACTCTCTTCTGAAGCACAAGCCCACTAACATACTTGTTTTCTTTTCTTTTTCTGCACATTAGAGAAATTTCTCTAGAAATAAACTGTAGAAATGAACCCTGTTTTCTAAAGGTTCAGATTAGGTTTCACCTTATTTGGGTTGGAAGGAGACTGTCCCATAAGCAAACCATATGTGCCTTCCGACTGGCCTCCATCAAACTCTTTTTATAAACTTGCCAATAATTCCAACAGCTCCAAAACTTCAGCCTCAGAGAGAATCTTTTCTGTGGTGGGTCCAGCCATCCAGTCTCTAAAGTTATCTGACTCAATTTCTTCAACTCTGTTCTTTCATCCCTGCTTTTCCAGAAAAGGGGCTTTCACCTTTCTTTATTTAAGTCCAGGGGAGTTGGGCCTTTTTAGAGTCACATTGTGACACTGTGGTCCCCCCCCGTATCTGTGGTTGGCTTGGAACTCCCAATATAGACCAGGCTAGCCTCAAACTCAGAGATCCACCTGCCTCTGCTAGGATTAAAGGTGTGCACCAAACTAACTTCTCTTTTGAAATCTGGGGGGAAATTTTTTTTGTTTGTTTGTTTTTTGAACCTGAGGCTGATGGTAATGTCTCTCTGAGTGCTTCCCCCAAGGAGGAAAGGATGACTCAGAGCCCCCCACTTTTCCTCCTGGTGTTCTATTTAGTGCTGGGTAACTACCCTACTTCTGTTTACTACAAATATACTTACTATAGTTTAAGGTTACCTAGAGAGTTAATTTATCTTTATTTTTCCGGTAACTGGGCCAATTCACCAGTTCTGTCTGTCTGTCTATCTACCATCTATCTATCTATCTATCTATCTATCTATCTATCTATCTATCTATTTATCTATCTATCTATTTATTTTTAAGATCTCTTCTTCAAACCACCCTTTGGTCTGGAGGTAACCTGATCCAGGAGGGACACCATCTCTGCAGAAGGTCGCCCAAACAGCACCTTCTCTCGCCTTTCCTCCTTAGGGCTCTAACCCTCATAGAAAGCTTCCTTTGGAATGCGGAGACCTAGCAACCCAGCTACAGAACAGGTAGGTGGACTTTCCCCTCCAGGGTCCACGCCCAGCTTCTGAGGGCTGGGGGAGGGGGAGGAAATAGGCTCCAGCGAACGCCACGGGAATGCTGGCTGTGTCGAAGATTCCGCTTCAAACCTAAATATACTATAATAAATATTTACTGAGCAAATAAAGGAGAGAACTATTCAGAGCCCAGCAAGGTAAGCTAAGTCAATCTTCTTTTAACGTACTTCAGCGGTTAACACGAGGCTTTAACGTTAATTGCCTCAGTTTGCCGGCAAAGTACCCCAGACTCCTTTGGCGTAGTGGGACCAAAAGCCCGACTTATTGACAGTCTTTCAAAATAGGTGGATTTACTATCTGTGATTGAGTCCCTTTCTGCTTAAAACGAAGGTCATTTACAGCACTCGGTTCCCAAGTCATTCATTCATTCTACACATTTATTAAGAGCCAAATATGTGCTGGCTTCTGTTTTGGACGTTTGAGATGAAGCGAACAAAACAAAAGAAAAAGACCCCGGCTCTGGCGGCGCTTATCATAGGGAGGCAAAACGATGAAAATGATTTTTAGAATGATGCAAATCAGATGAGAAATGTTACAAAGAAAACAGTTGCAAAATGACTATGGAGGCCAGGAGCCCGGGGATAAGAATCCACGATTGGGGTTCTTGTCGGGTTTGCGGATGAGGCAGGAGAGCAGAGATGCAGGACGCGCTGACGTCGGGAGACTACGAAGAAATTTTCCACAGAAAGTGACAGTACGGTATTCCGGTTTAAGCGGAGGGAGATGAAGGGCAGAAAGGGCTGTGGACCGAGATTTGCGTAGAGAAGAGCACCCAGGAGGCGCTTCCCATAGAGCCCAAGGGATGCTCTGGCGCTAAGATACCCCAGTCCGCAAAGCCCCGATGCCCCCCAAAATGGCCTCTCAGGCCCCTTGGCGCCCCGCCAGCCCACGTGACCCCGCCGCCCCTCCCGCCCACCGGGCTGGGGACCCCGGCTCTGGGTTCCCGCGGTGGCTGCCCCGCCCCTTGCGGGAAGCTGACCAATAAGAGGAGGGTTGAGGCGGGGCGGAAGGTGACGGCCAATGGGGGCGGAGCTCCTGGGGAGTAACAGGTTGGTGGGCGGGGGCAAAGGAGGGAGCTCAGAGCTCGGAGGGGCTGGGCTGCAGCCGCGCGTGCAGCGCGGGCTGACGGAGAGCGAGCCCCTGCGGGGTGTGCGAGCCCGAGAGCCTCGAGCCGGACCCGGGTGAGTGAGCCTGCGGGGAGTGAGGCCACCTGCGAGGTGGCTGGGCCCTCAGGAGTATGCCTGAGGGGCGGGGTGGAGGCATCAGATGCCCTCCTCCTGGGCACAGGTGCTGAGTTTAGGAGGAGGGGCGGTCAGAGTGCGGTGGCAGAACTAAGAGCTGGCCCCTACTCCACGGTGCCAGAAGCAAGAGACTGGTAAGGTGCCAGGTGTGGAGCACCTGAGGGTAAGGTTATTCCCAGGGCATGCCTGCGTTTCAGCGCTACGATCTCTGGAGGTCAGGCGCCAAGCCCTTGGGGCAGAATTTCTCTTGGAGACCAGCGTGGGGGCGGGGGGGGGGGAGAGGGTTCGTCGTATTGGAGCGAAAGGAAGTGCCGCCATAGGTTCAGAGACTGAAGTGGAGCTATCAGCAGGTGCTGGTTTTGGGGTGTGCGACCCCCCCCGCCCCCGTCAGCCCATGCTGGCCTCTGACGCCCTCCTTTTGGCTTTGGAAGTGCTCTGAAATGTGGGGTCGTTCTCTGACCGTTTGCCCACAGGTGACAGCGGTTGCCAGTAAGGCACTCAGATCAGAATATGAGGGCACTCGCCATCTCTGCTAGCTGTGAGATTATTTAAGGCTGTTTATGTCTTTCTTTTCAAGCCAGGGAGAATTTTTCCTTCTTCCTCTAGAAAGAACTGTGCGTGTTCTCTAAGAGAGGGGCATCAAGAACCTTAAATCTCTGGACCTCCAAAATGGCTGAAAATGTTTGCTTTTTCGAGGGTGTGGACCATGGATTGATACTGGGTTTCATGTAGTGCATGCTGGCCTTGAACTTGCTGTACAGCTGAGGCTGACTTTGAACTGTCTGCCTCCAGCTTGCAATGCTGGGGTTACAGGCATGTGTCACCACACCCACCTAGAAATTGCCTTCTTTGCTGAGGCTGATGTCAACCACACGTTTCCTACCAGCAAATATATATATATATATATATATATATATATATATATATATATATATATAAAATTTTCCCCCTTTAGCTCTAGGCTGGAGGACACTGGTATTTGGGAGTGCAGCTAATTTCCTTGATGCCTCACAGAATCAATCCTCTTGATTCCCTGAAACCCTAGCAGGCATCTCTGATTCATGACCTGTGATAACTGGCTGTAGGCACCAGTGGTGCAAAAACATAGGCAGAACTCCCCAGGAGACCAAAAGACTAGGGGAATTACGTCTCCAAATTCCCAGACCACTCGACAACTTCTGAGGTGGATTTCCTTGCCTTAAGCAGCAGTGGGAGCAGAGTCAACCTTACCTTGGCCCCTTTGATGCTCTGTCTGAAGACAGTTGCTGTAATTGGGAAATAATTAGCAACCGCTATGTTTGTAGACAAACTGCCTGCGTGTCCCAGGGCACCTTTTCTTTCATCCTGGACTTTTGGGAGTATGGGTCTGGCTCTAGAGGCTTGCCCGTTCAGAGCTTTGCCGGATTCTAAGAGGATTCTGGCTCCCTGTGGTTCCCAGGCAGGCATGCCTGCCATGACCCTCGTGGGAGGAGAGGGGGTGGGGCTGCTTCTCTTTGTGCCAGGGAGGGGAGAACCAAGTTCCTGGGAGTTGACGGAAGGTAAGTGTGAGGCCAGGAATGCAACTTTGGGAACTTGAGAGGGAGTGGTGGAGGGAGACAAAGTCTTCCTGTCACGCACTGGCCTGTCACCAAGTTCTTTGTGCATCTGTGACTCCTGCCTCCTCCCTCCCCACCTTTTGCCTCCTCCAGAGCCTCAGCCGTGGCATGTAGGCTGGACAGTCTCCACTCTTGGTCTTGTCCCTCTGCCTTTGGTGGGGAACCTCTCTGATCTGCTTTGCAAGCTTCCAGTGTAGCCTCCCGGCCCTCCCTTCCCCTTCGCCGCTCAAACCAGTCCAGCCAGTTTGCAAGGGCCCAGTTCTTCATTGTGTTTTTACCCGCACTGGCCAAGCAGCTCTAGCTTGGCTCTCAGGTTTCTGCTTTTTAGTGGACCTAATCTGGATTGAGGATTGGGGGTCCTGTTTGGGCCTACAAGGAGCGGCCTTATCCAGTGAAAGGTCACTGTGCTTTCCTTTTTTATTTTGACCGTGTATTTGCTTGTTTATCCCCACTGAGGTGGTTCTAATCAGGGTTCTTTTAGTTCTCCCACTTTCCGAACGCTCCAGTTATTCAGCCTATTGCCTGGCCCTGTGTACACCCGAAACCGCCCCACCCCCACTTCCTGCCAGCAGTCCAGGGACCCTGTCACTCCTAGTTGGAAGCCAGATGCTATGGCTGGGCCAGAGGTGATGGAATTGGGGCAGGGCAGGCTAATGAGTAACTCAGGGAGAAGTGGCCGTCTGGTACAGGTGTACTATGCCTTCCCCCTCCCTGTGTTCAGGCTGGAATGGCAGAGGCAGGCAGATGGCGCTGACTTAACTTCTGTCCTGGTCTTTTCCCAGAGTACAGTTGGTGAGAAATGCCCTGGGCATCTGCCAGGGGAGGGAAAAGAGGCTCAGGCATCTGGTGAGAGCACAGGCCCCTGACTTCATATTGGTCCAGATCATTGTTTACCTGCCTAGGGCTTATGCAAGGCCTTGGAGCTGCCCTGCTCCCTTGGCCCCACCCCGCTGTCCTCTGTAACTGAAGGCGGGTAGGTTTCGGGTTTTCCGTGTTGAATCATTTAGAGCTCTATTTTCTGACCCACCCTAAAGATCACTCAGTCCTGGCCCCTGACCCATGTGTCCTGGAACTGATAACGATTGAGGGTGGGGGTGTCTTTGGAACCTAGGGGAACACTAGATAGCACCCCTGTGCTGTCTGGCACTCTGGGCCAAGGGGTTGAGCTCTTTGCTATGCCTTCTTGGGAGCTCCTTGACCTGATCTGGAAGATCTGCAGATAGACTGGCAGGGCAAATCTTCATCATGAATAAATCATGTGACTTCTGGTAGCTGGCTGTTTAGGTACACCTGATTGTACGATCAGGACTGTGGGGCAGAGAGTCCAGACCAGGAAGGCGGCCGTTACTAAGGCACAAAGAATGCTATGAGGCATCCATGGGCATATCTTTCTGTTGCTGGGAGAGTCTGCCTTGGTTCCGGACACAGCCTTCAGAGAGTGCTCATTACATTCTCCATGCTCCAGGCAGAGGGTAGCTGAGGGTCTTGGTCTTTGCCCTGGAGGAGCTCATTGTCTAGGGAGGAGACAGGAACTAATCTCAGTAAACATACGGAGGTAAACTGAGGTAAACCTGCTGGGAGTGTATGTAACTGACGGGAGCTCTGCAAGAAACTCTCTGCTTTTCCCAGTGAGCGGAGAACGACTTTGCATCTTCTGTTTCTGTTTTCTTGTATGCCAGAGCTTGGGCATACTTCCCTATGAACACTGGCTTTCTCTGCAGCCCCTTCGGCCATGCGGCCGCTTGTCTGCCATGTGGTTGGATGCCGACCTCCAGTGCTGAAACCGCCCGCTCTCTTAAAGGCATGGCTTCCTCTTTTCCCGCTTTGCCCGCTTCTCTCCATTTTCCTCCTCCTGGCAACTGCTGAGATTGACAGTTTGTCGGCCCTGTTGGTTTTTTCTCTCCAACTCTAATAAAAATTGTTTTAAAGTTTCCTTCTGAGTCCATTTATAAAGTCTTGTATTATCGACGCTGAAGACCCCAAAGAAAGAACCTCAATTTCCTCAGCAACAATCTTCAGCTACTTAGTGAGTTCAGGACAGCCTGGGCTACTTAGATACTGTGTCAACAAACAAACAACAACAAACACAGTATAAAATTATTGCATGTGAAGGAAGAAGGGCAGTTTGCTTATTATGTATTTCTAGTGAGGCAAAATCTTACTATGTAACTGAAACTGATCTTGGACTCATGGCAATCCTCCTGCCTCAGACTCTAGTGCAGAGATTCTCAACCTTCTTAATTCTGCAGCCCTTTAATACAGTTCCTCATGCTGTGGTGACCCCCAATCATAAAAGCATTTTCATTGCTATTTCATAACTGTAACTTGCTACTGTTATGAATTGTAATATGCATATATTCGTGTTTTCTGATGGTCTTAAATGACCCTATGGAAGGGTCATTTGACTCCAAAAGGATCTCGACCCACAGGTTGAGAGCCACTGCCCGGGTGCCTTTTCTTTTTCTTAAGTAATTTGGAGAGCTTCTCCCTTCTGCCCTCAAAAACTTAAAAATTCTGTCTTAAAAGTTTGTGTGGGCTGTGCCATGAAGGAGGTACATTGCTTTTACAGTCCCAGGACCCCCAAAGTAAATCACTCAATAAAGGGTTCCCCTCCCCATTCAATTTCTCCAGTTCGGAAGGTCTGGGAATGCTAAGAATGCCCTCAGTGTCCATTTCTCCCCCAAACCCTCCCCCACCTGCATTCTGCCCCTCCTGCCCATCCCCTCCCATCAGCCACCCTGGTTTCCTGGCTTCCTAGAGCTTCTACTATCTCTGAGAGGGACTTTGCCAAGTTTCCTTGGCCCAGAGCCCCACAGGGAGGTTGAATTGGATATGATTGTTTTTCTGCCTCCAGCTCAGTGCTGGGCTCCAGTAGAGACCAGAAGGCGTAAGGAAGCTGCATAGGTTGTCCTTCAATTTGCTTGGAGCAGAACCTCCCTCCCAAGTTCCAGGAGCCAGAGCACACCTGGAGCACATTCCATTTACTGACTCTAAGCTTGGGCAATGTGGACCAGGAAGTTGGCTTGTGGATGGCCCTGGTTCTATCCCACGGCCTGCCTGGCACACTAAAAACCTGTTTAAAGGTCGCTGAAGCTCTGTTGGTAGAGTGCTTGCCTAGCATACATGAAGCCAGAGTTCTATCCCAGCACTGCATAAAACCAGGCCCAGCGGCTTGCCTTTGTACTCAAGAAGTGGAGATAGAAGGATCAGAAATCAAGGTCATCTTCAGCTGCTTGTATAAGGAGTGTGAGGCCAGCTTTAGGTCACAAAAGACACTGTCTCAAAAAAAAAATCGTGTTTAAGTCCTCCCTCTTCCTCCTTTCTTTTCTCTCTTGGTGCTGGGGATTGAATCCAGATCTCACATATTAGACAAATGCTATACCACTGAGTTACAACCTGACTGGAAGTCCTTTCTTAAATAGGCAGTGCATCTACACAGCATCAAGTTCAGAAGGGACAGAAAACTACACAGTGGGAAGCCAGAGATTAAACTCTTCTCTGCCCAGCCTTCAGTTCCTTCACTCTAGAGACATTACTGCTGTGTCCGTGGCAGCTTAAGTGCCTTCCCAGAGATGGGTGCCGCATTTTGTGACCTCTATATTTTAGTAAGCTCTGCAATAGGAGGCTTCTTTTTCAAGGAAGTGGAGGAATCAGATAGGCAGGGTGGGTGTCCACCTTTACATGGGAGAGACCCTTGGCTGTGTTGTATGTGAAGATCAGTAGATACCCTCAAGTTCTTAATAAGCCACAATCCCCAGGATTGCATCAAAGGAAATTATTTTGGGTCTTTGGGCCTCAAGTATATTATCTGCTTTATTTTGATTTTTTTCCTTCTATGTTGTAAGGACCTTACAGCCTAGGCAAGCTGTCTACTAACTTACCTCCCTAGCTTTCAAAGTGTGCTATCTGGACCAGGAGTATCAGCATCACCTAAGAGAAGTTGCTGAGGAATTCAAATTCTCAGGTCCAGCTCCAGGACTAATAAGTCAGAAACTAATAGTAGACTCCCATATACTGCATTTCTGTTGCTCAGATAAAATATGACAATAATTTTCTATAGAAGAAACAGACAAGGCAGTCGACGTCCTTAAAGCTGGGTGTCTGCTTCAGGCTCCTCAGCTAAAACTGTGTTTTCCATCTTCTAGGACCCCCTCCTACATGCGGAGCAGACACACATGATGGCTGATCCTCGGGCCCCTGTAGACCATGGCGTCCAAATTCGCTTTATCACAGAGCCAGAGGGCGCTACTGAGATGGGCACCCTTCGTCGCGGGAGACGCCCTGCTAAGGATGCAAGAGCCAGTACCTATGGGGTCGCTGTGCGTGTGCAGGGCATTGCCGGACAGCCTTTTGTGGTGCTTAACAGTGGAGAGAAAGGGAGTGACTCCTTTGGGGTCCAAATCAAGGGGGGCAACAACCGGGGGTCCCCAGGAGCACTAAGCTCTGATTCAGAGGTCCCTGAGAACCCCTACTCTCAAGTCAAGGGGGTTTCTGCCCCTTCTCAGGGCAGCACATCCGATGAGGAGCCCAGGGACCACTGGGACGGAAGACTGCTGCGCTCCCAGTCGCAAGCCTCTCTGGCAGGACTTGCTTCTGTGGGTTCTAGCAATAGGAGCACCAGCTTGTTGGAGCTGGCCCCTCAAAAGACTCTCCCGGTTAACACCATTGACACTGCCCCCTTGTCTTCAGTGGACTCACTCATCAACAAGTTTGATAGTCAAATCGGGGGCCAGGTCCGGGGCCGGACTGGCCGCCGCACGCGGACGCTTCCTCATGAACAGCGCAAGCGGAGCCAGAGTCTGGACAGCCGGAGCCAGAGTCTGGACAGCCGACTCTCACTGGATACGCGCGAGGATCGGGAATGTCAGTCCCCTAACCACTGGACCCCTGGTACAAAGTATGACAACCACGTGGACAGTTCAAAGCAGCCATCCAAGAGCCAGAGCCCCCTCAGCAGCTTTAGCCGTTCCCGTCAGACTCAAGACTGGGTCCTACAGAGTTTTGAGGAACCACGGGAGAAAGCCCAGGATCCCACCATGGTGCAGGTCAGAAGTCATCCCTCCCCACAGCCACCCCCCAGCTTAGCATCAGCCCACGGAGTCCTTTGTTAATCCAGATAACACAGGGCAGAAAGTCTCTGCCTTTTGTTCTCTATCTTATCCAGTACATTCATGGGTAAACTTGTAAGGAAAAAGGAAACGAGCATGGAGAAGTTAGCCGTTCTTCATTCATCAGCAAATGCTAATTCTTTAGGTCTAGCACCTTTTGTCATGCAGGCTTGGAGAGTATGGGTAGCTCCCCTAACAGTCTTGCTTGAAGTTCATGCTTTCCCCTTCTTCACTCAGGGATGGGACTTAGGAGACAGACTTGTGTGTGTTCTGGATCTCTGTGTACATTTATAAATGCCAGTACGTCTGTTGGTGTTACTGACATAGGTCCTGGCTGGCTATTGAGAAAAGTGGTTTGCAGTGATAACGCAGAGGTCTGTCCTGCGGAGGCCTGTCCTGCAGAGGTCTGTCCTGCAGAGGCCTGTCCTCAGAAGTCTGTCCTGCAGAGGTCTGTCCTGCGGAGGCCTGTCCTGCAGACGTCTGTCCTGCAGAGGCCTGTCCTGCAGACATCTGTCCTGCAGAGGCCTGTCCTGCAGAAGTCTGTCCTGCAGAGGCCTGTCCTGCCGAGGCCTGTCCTGCAGAGGCCTGTCCTGCAGAAGTCTGTCCTGCAGAGGTCTGTCCTGCGGAGGCCTGTCCTGCGGAGGCCTGTCCTGCAGAAGTCTGTCCTGTGGAGGCCTGTCCTGCGGAGGCCTGTCCTGCAGAAGTCTGTCCTGCAGAGGCCTGTCCTGCAGAAGTCTGTCCTGTAGACGTCTGTCCTGCAGAGGTCTGTCCTGCAGAGGCCTGTCCTGCAGACATCTGTCCTGCAGAGGCCTGTCCTGCAGAGGCCTGTCCTGCCGAGGCCTGTCCTGCCGAGGCCTGTCCTGCAGAGTTCTGTCCTGCAGAGGCCTGTCCTGCAGAGGCCTGTCCTGCAGAGGTCTGTCCTGCCGAGGCCTGTCCTGCAGAGGCCTGTCCGGCCGAGGCCTGTCCTGCAGAGGCCTGTCCTGCAGAAGTCTGTCCTGCAGAGGCCTGTCCTGCAGAAGTCTGTCCTGCGGAGGCCTGTCCTGCAGACGTCTGTCCTGAGCAGCCTTGTTAGTTATGCCGAGAGACTTGGTCCCTCCACTGTTACCCGTGCCACGTTTGAACCACATATTTACTTTGGCACCCTCTCCACTTCCTTTCCTTTCTTCCTTTCCTTTATTTTTCCTCCAGTTCAAATCAACTCCAGACCTTCTGCGCGACCAGCGGGAGGCAGCACCACCAGGCAGTGTGGACCATGTGAAGGCCACCATCTATGGCATCCTAAGGGAGGGGTGAGTGGGGGCCACCCAGTAGTGGAAGCATACACTTCCTTTCTTGGCCCTCTGCCTTCACTTCCCGCCCCTCCTCGTCTCCCCTCCGCTCCGCTCACCCTGGCTTCTGTCCTTCTGTCCTCAGAAGCTCGGAAAGCGAAGCGGCTGTGAGGAAGAAAGTTAGTTTGGTGTTGGAGCAGATGCAGCCTGTGGGGGTGAGTGACCTTCTTGGGGTCAGGGCTATGGCCTGGAGGGCCTCCAGGGTCTGGATATGGACTTACCTCCCACCCCCTTGTCTCCCATACCTCTGACAGATGGTTTCTCCTGCCTCTACTAAGGCCCTGGCAGCACAGGGTGAGCTTGCCCAAAAAGTAAAGGAGCTCCAGAAAAAACTGGATGAAGAGGTGAAGGTAAGGCAGGGTAGAGGTATGGAGGGCCACGGGGAAGATGGATGCCCTGGGCCTGAGCTAGGCTGACTCTTTTTTGGGGGGAAGGGGGGTGTCTTACTGAATATGAGTATCCCTGGCTGTCCTTGTACTCACAGAGCTCTTCCTGGCTTTCCTGGGCTCAGAGGTGTGAGCCCCCATGTCCATCTGGGCTGGGTCTTCTGAGTCAGTGCTGTCTGTATGTGTGAGACAGGAAGTCAGTGTCCTAGTCCCAGCAAGGACTTTTAGTTTCTCTGGGACTGGTGGAGCACAATAGAGGTCTAATTACTTTCTTTTTGTTTTCCCTAGGAATTCATGTCCAGGGTCTGCTATTAACTGCTTGGAGAAAGCTTAGAAACTTTCTTTCGTTCTCTGTCCAAGGGTGTAGCTAAGTTGATAGAATGCTCACTCTGCGTGCAGGAAATGTCCCGGGTTCAATCCCTAGTATGACTACAACCAATTGTGGTACTTGCTTGTAAGCCCAGCACTCAGGGAGTAGAGGCAGGAGGATCAAAAATTCAAGCTCCTCTCTGGCTATTTATCAGGTTTGAAGACAGACTGGGTCACATGAAACCATGTCTCAAAAAGAAAAGAAAAGAAAACTACTTACATTCTAAGTGTCTTGAGTCTTTTTCTCATCATAATTATGATAGTAAAGCCATTTATTGAGTATAATTCTTATGGCAGATGTTGCCCTGGATAATACATAATCATTACATTAGCTGTGCAAAGTATGCCGTAGGATCTTTTCTGATGAGAGATCCTGCAGATCGGAGAGGTTAAGGGACTGCAGAGGGAGGATGAAACGGTGCATCCCCTCTAAACTTATGGACACTTTCTTATTCTTGCTTTTCTTTGTGGGTTCGGAAGGACAGGGTCTCAAAAGGACTGGCCCTGAGCTTCTAACCCTCTTGCCCTACCTCCTGCGTTTGGGACTGCAGTTGTCCGTCTCACGCCCAGTGTGCCTCTGTGTCTGCTAGGCAGACACTACCGTCTAGCTTCGCCCACAGCCCCAGACCCTTTATGAATACTTCTTCCCCCTTTCACACATTGCCCTCGACATAGTTGGAGTTCAGCTTGTGTTGGTTTGCAGTCAGGTTAATAGTTATGTGGAAACAAACTTAATGGGTTCCAACCTCGATTCTAGTAATTGCTGGCTGTATAACTGAGTTGATTCTTTAAGTATTCAAATCCTGTTTCCTTAACACTAAGTGAAGATAATAATATACTCTTTATTTATTTGTTACAAAACAGATTACTACAAAACTTAATAGCCTAAAACAAGCCTTTCTCAGTGTCTGAGGACTGAGAATAGGGATCATCTTCGCTGAGTAATTCTGACTCATGACTGATATTACTAGAACACTTAGGAGACTTAAGTAGGTTTGGTAGGTTTTTTTGTTTTTGGGGTTTTTTTTTTTGACACAAAATTTAACTTTGTAGTCCAAACTGCCTGACATTCACTGTGTAGTTCAGGCTAGCCTTGAACTCATGGTGATCCTCCTGCTTCTGCCTCCTCTAAGTGTCAGGATTACAGGCATGTGCTACCATTTGGGGCTATTCTGGGTCTGTCTGCAAAGCTTTTGCTGTTCTCCATTTCTTTTCTAGAAGCGGCAGAAGCTAGAGCCATCCAGGATCGGGCTAGAGAGGCAGCTGGAGGAGAAGGCAGAAGAGTGCAGCCGACTGCAGGAGCTGCTGGAGAGGAGAAAGGGGGAGGTCCAGCAGAGCACCAAGGAGTGAGTGCAGCTGATGGAGCGCATGGGTCACGTGGGTTGGCTTCAGGGACCTGAGCTGGACCCAGAGGTCAGTCCTCCCAAGTTCAAAGGAGGCACAGGGGGATCTTGAGATGCTGGAGGGGCCAGGACTGGTTCCTTTTCTATGGTAATGGTGACTGTGCGTGATCTGAAGATGGCTACCTGTCTGAAGGTTTGTAAAGTGGCCCCACAAATGTTGGCCACCTTACAGGATTATTGTGAGGATTTGCTCACTGGTTTAGCAGATGTCTTCTGTCTGTGACTGATGACAGGCCCTGATGTGGACTCCTGAGGTAAATCAGTGAGCTGTGCAGGTAGGGCCCTCCTCTCCAGAATCTTAGCTCCCAAAGACAGGGAACAGAGAGTAAACAAGAAGAGTGTGTGAGTAAATTATGAGAAGGTGGTGAGTACTGCAGGCTAGCTCATCAAGGAGCAGGTCGCAGTTCTAAGTGAAGTAGTTGGGTTTAAATGTTCATTTAAGATTTGACCAGGGGCTCCAAAGTTACACAGAGAAACCCTGCCTCGAAAAACAAAAGAAAAAAAAAATATTTGAACAGGGGAGCCAGGCAGTGGTGGCACATACTTGTAATCTCAGCACTTGGGAAGAAGACAGATCTATATGAGTTTGAGGCCAGCCTGGCATGCAGAGTGAGTTCCAGAACAGCCAGAGCTGCACAGAGAAAGCTATCTTGAAAAAAAAATAGAACAAAACAAAACAAAAAAAGAAAGAAAGAGAAGAGATTTGAGCAGAGGCCTGGAGATGGTTCAGCTGGTAAAGGTGTTTACCACAGAATCTGAGGACCTGGGACACTTAAGTCCCTGGAACATACAAGTTGGAAAGAGAGAAATGACTCCTGCAAGTTGTTCTCTGACTGTCACACAAATGTCTCCCTCATACATGTACAGTAAACAAATAAAAATGTAATAAAAGGGAAGAAGAGATTTGAATAGAAGCAGGGTGTAGTTTATTGGTGAAATGGTTGCCCAGTATAGCAAGGCCCTTCTATCCCTAACACAGCAAAACCAAATGTGCAAGAAATAGAGATTTAGTGGAGGTTTAAATGAATCAACATAGGTAAACCTGTTCTGCCTAGCATCGTATCCAGTGATGCTATCTCTTGCTAGGCTCCAGAACATGAAGCTTCTCCTGGGCCAGGAAGAAGGGTTACGGCATGGGCTGGAGACCCAGGTGAAGGAGCTACAGATGAAGCTGAAACAGGGTCAGAGTCCCGAGCCTGCAAAGGAGATTCTCCTGAAGGTAGGAGATGGGTGTGTGTGTGTTCTGGCTTCAGTTCCCTGCAGCATCCCCAGGTCTGCTCATCCATTTCCCTTGAAGTACACAAAGCAGGAAGGTTTTCACCAGTGCTCTTCAGTGTGCTTCCAGGCAGACTCTCCCCGGATGATAGTTTAGAGGGCAAACAGCATTATACTATACTAATACCAAGTATAAATACATTTTCTTTTTGAATGTGGGGCTTCATTAAGTTGTCCATTCTGACCATCCAATTTGTGATTGCCACCCTGCCAAGCTCTCAATAAGTGTTTTTGGCTAAATGGTGAGTTTTTTAACAGACACAATGAATCCTAAAATGGTCAGTCCCGAGCTCCCATCTTCCCTTTCTCCAGGATTTGTTAGAAACCCGGGAACTTCTGGAAGAGGTCTTAGAGGGAAAACAACGAGTAGAGGAGCAGCTGAGGCTGAGGGAACGGGAGCTGACAGCCCTGAAGGGGGCCCTGAAAGAGGAGGTGGCTTCGCACGACCAGGAAGTGGAACATGTCCGGCTGCAATACCAGAGAGACACGGAGCAGCTTCGCCGGAGCATGCAAGATGCGACTGAGGCATGTGACAAGAACTGGGCCTGGGAGAGGGCGACACTGCCAGGGAACAGGGCTGCCTTATTAGTGTAGTTTTGGACTTCTCATCTTCGCAACTAGGAATCCTCCCTAAAGGACACCTGTGAGATGTAGCGAGAACCTAGGTTAGGAAACCTACCAGAGCAGAGAGAGGAGTTACAGGCTAGAAGTAACCATAAGGTGGTGTGGTCGGGGAAGTAATGGAGGGGGCTTCCTGCAGGTCACAGAGAGGCAGGCTTCCTAGTATCATCCCTCCAGGGTGTCAGTGTGTCGCTGTACGGTGCTCTCTGGGCCTCAGCTTCCTCTTCTGCCTTAAAGTGAACTTGGCCCTCTGGACCTCCTGGTGCCCATTTTCCTCCTCCCTTAGGACCATGCTGCCATGGAAGCTGAGAGGCAGAAGATGTCTTCCCTGGTGCGGGAGCTGCAAAAGGAGCTGGAGGAGACCTCAGAGGAGACAGGGCACTGGCAGAACATGTTCCAGAAAAACAAAGAGGAGCTGAGAGCCACCAAGCAGGAGTAAGACCCTCCTGCCTTTTGTGGGGGCGTTTAACCTGACTCTTGTACCCCCCTGCCTTTCTCACACGCTCTTTCTGTAGCTGCTGTTCTCCAGATCCACTCCTCAAGAGTGAGTGAGTGTCTGTGGCAGTGGCCTCCAGAGGGCTCTTCCCTTTGTCCTTTGAGTTTCCCCCGTGTGGGAAGTCTGACCTTGCTATTTTACCCTTTGTGCATAACCTTGCTGGACTCAGACTTCTGCAGCTGCGGATGGAAAAGGAGGAGATGGAAGAGGAGCTTGGGGAGAAGATGGAGATTTTACAGAGGGACTTAGAGCAGACTCGAGCCAGTGCAAGAGACATTCACCAGGTCGAGGAGCTCAAAAAGGTACTTGGCACCTGGGGCACAGACTGCAGGTCAGGATGACCCCTGCCTCACTGAGGCACCTCTACCTGGGCTAGTGGGGCTGTCTCCAGGAGCGTGGTTTTCAATTTTGGCTTTCCAGCTCTGCAGAATGGTCTCCTTGTTGGTTATAGGTGGAAGCTGCTGCCTACCTCCTAGAAGACGTCATAGATAGCTAAATACATGTGGATTTATAAAACTCCAGGGTCATTTTTGCAGGCTCAGAACCTCAATTTGGTCAGCACTGCAAAAACGGCTCTTTCAGGGAGAAGCTCATTAACTACGTGATGAAGCAAATGTTTTGTAAGAATGCCTGTTTATTAATTTACATTGAGAAATATAATCCCTGGACTGGAGGGCTGGTATCAGCTTGGCTGGCTGACCTACTTTTGAAACCAAATTGTAATCTGAAGGCTGTTTGGAAAGCGCAGAGTCTGGACATGGTACTTAAGGGGGCCCAGTGTTTGATGTGCACCTCCCCAGTATCCCACCCAAGCCGCAGTCTGTAGCAGGATAAGAACACAGCTAATAGGCCAGGTGGTAGTAGTCCACACCTTTAATCCCAGCACTTGGGATGGGAGGCAGAGGCAGGTGGATCTCTTAGAGGCCAGCCTGATCTACAGGGAGAGTTCTAGGACTGCCAGGGCTACAAGGAGAAGTTCTGTCTTGAAACCTCCCCCCAAAAGAATGCAGTTAATAGGTTGGGTATGGTGGTGCACGCCTTTAATCTGGTGGATCTCTGTGAGTTTCAGACCAGCCTGTTCTACATAGTGAGTTTCAGGACAGCCAATAGAGAGACCTTGTCTCAAATCTTTCCCCAGAAAAGAAACCCCCCTCTCCAAAACAAAACAAAATAAAAAGAAACAAAAAATAGCTAATTATTTTTGGATGACATAAAATTATGTTGTATTATTGTGAACTTACAAATACCAAGGAGAGTCTGAAACCTGTTGGTATATTAGCTGACCTGGCTCACTTGACGATTTCATGTATCATTATGCGTCAAACAGGCGGTGTATTTTATCAAGCATTTAAACAAAATATAGATTAGGGAAGCAGACTAACCGAGTCCAACACAGACCAGCCAGCCGGCTCTGTTTCCTCTTCTTTGTGATGAGTATGTGTCTGCATTATAGTCACTGCAAGCTCTGTGGCCCTGCAGTCTTGCTAGCTTTTCTACATTTCAAAAGGCCTAATAACTAGAACAAACCATAATTAATATTTTAAATGCCCTTAAAATTTAAGATGCATTAGTATTTATTGTTTTACATGTTTGTATTTTGGTGTTGTTGTTTTTGTTGTTTTAGACTGTCAGTCTTGTCTTAGACCTGTGTCCATGTATTCTTCCTCCACATGGTTTCTAATAGTGTTATATTTATGTACTATAAAATTCCTCTATTTTTAGTTTTTTGAGACCAGGTCATACTATGCAGACTAGTCTGGCCTTGAACTCACAGAGATCTGCCTGCCTCTGCTTTCCTCATGCTGGGATAAATACACCACTACCCTTGGCCAAAAACTTCTCCTTTCAAAATAGACAATTCAGTGGTTTTTAGTGTAGTCATTGTATTGGGAAGCCATCACCATTATCTAGTTACAGAATATTGTAATGTCCCCCTAAAATCCCCCACGCTCCTTAGTGGTCATTCTCTCCATGCCCTGACAACTTTTTCTCTCCAGACTTGTATAACCGAACATTCCATGTCATTATAATTCTATAATATATGGGTTTTAATTTTTAATCTGAAGTAATTTTTTCAAGACTCAACTGTGTGATAGCAAGTGCCTTCATCTTTTTCTTTGTTTATGTGTATTAGGTTTTAGAGACAGGGTCTTATGTAGTCCAGGCTTGCCTGGAACTCACTATGTGGCTGAGGATGCCTTGAATTCCTGATCCTCCTGCTTCTGCCTTCTGTGTGTTGGAATACAGGTGTACACCACCAAGCCTGGTTTCATCCAGTTTTATGGATGCCTAATGTTCTATTCTTGATTAATGTATTTTGTTGGTTTTTTTTTAATTATTTATTTTATGTGCGTTGGTGTTTTGCCTGCATGTGTGTCTGTGTGAGGTGTCAGATCTTGGAGTTACAGACAGTTGTCAGCTGTCACATGGGTGCTGGAATTGAACATCAGTCCTGGAAGAGCAGCCAGTGCTCTTAACCGCTGAGCCATCTCTCCAGTCCCGATGAGTGTATTTTGTTCATTTTCCAAATTTAGGACATGTGAATTGCTTCTGTGTTTGACATACAGTGACTGATCTTGCTATAAGCATTTATGAACAAGTTTTTGTGAGAACTGTCAGTTTTCATGGGCATATTGCCAAAAATAGGGTTGCTTTGTCCTGTGGCTCTTCCATGTTCAGCTTTTTGTGAATCTGCCCCGTTGCTGTCTAAAGTGGCCTTATCATTTGTATTCCTTTCCATGATGTGTGAGAGTCTTATTTTCCCCATGTGCCGGAACCTCCTTATAGCTGTCCCTACTGTTTTCTTTTCCTTCTAGGAGCTAAGACGCACCCAGGGGGAGCTTAAAGAGCTTCAGGCAGAGCAGCAGAGCCAGGAGGTGACTGGGCGACAGCGGGACCAGGAGTTAGAGAAGCAGCTGGCCGTGCTGAGGGCTGAGGCTGATCGAGGCCGAGACCTGGAACAGCAGAACCTCCAGCTGCAAAAGACCCTGCAGCAACTGCGGCAGGACTGTGAAGAGGCTTCCAAGGCAAGGGGAGTGGGCCCAGGGCTCAGGAGGTGGAGGCTGAGGGGTCAGGAGGGCTGAGAAGCCAGAGAGCCTGCAAAGTTACTATGATGGGTATGTACTCAGCCGTTCTGGAGGCTCATGTGTGTGGCGCATAGCAGATTTGACAGAGGGTGCTGCAGGGGTAGGATTATCGGGGAAGTCCCTGACTGGGGCCACCCCTCCATGCCTGGCTCCTGTGAGCTTTTGGTGAGCTCTTAGGTGGCCATTTTTGTGGATATGCATGTTTACCCATCTGAGCCCCCACGGTCTGAGCTGATTCTCCCAACTGTCCGCAGGCTAAGCTGGCATCAGAGGCAGAGGCCAAGGTGCTGGGGCAGCGTCGGGCAACAGTGGAAACCACACTTCGGGAGACTCAGGAGGAAAACGATGAGTTCCGAAGGCGCATCCTGGGTCTGGAGCAGCAGTTGAAGGAGGCCCGAGGCCTGGCGGAGGGTGGGGAAGCGGCGGAGGCACGACTTCGGGACAAAGTGCATCGCTTGGAGGTAAGTGTCCTGTTCACCTCATGGCCACCCTGCTCTTCTACCCTCAAGCCTCCTACCTTAAACCCGTCCCATCCTCCCTTCCCTCACTCCCTGCCCCCCCCGCACCCCAGCATGCCGCTGCCTTCGGTTTTACTGCCTGCATGCACTGTTCCTTTGTCCTCACCACGTCTATTATGCTTGGGTGTGTTTGCTGGTGTGAACGTTCCTAACTTTGCACTGGTAATTTTGTCTCCTTTCTCCCAGCCTTTGCTTGTTCTGTACTTTGATTTCTTTGGCTATTTCCTCTGAGCCTGTTTGCACTGTCCGCTCTTTGTTGTTTTTTGAGACATGGTCTCATTATATAGTCCCACTTGGCCTCACCATGTAGACCAGGCTGGCCTCGAACTCACAGGTCCCCTGCTTGTTCCTCACAAATTCTGGGGTCAGAGGCATGTCACCATACCCCACACTACCTTTGTCATTAAGTAACTCCCCTACCTTTCCCATCTACCTACCTCCAATGCCTTCAGCCTAAATTTTGCCTTCTCTCAGCCCAACCTTTCCCCTCTCTCTCCCCAGATAGAGAAACAGCAACTAGAGGAGGCTCTGAATGCCGCCCAGGAGGAGGAGGGGAGCCTGGCAGCAGCCAAGCGAGCTCTGGAGATCCGGCTGGATGAGGCCCAGCGGGGGCTGGCACGCCTTGGGCAGGAACAAGAAGCATTGAACCGGGCCCTAGAGGAAGAGGGGAGGCAGCGGGAGGCTCTACGAAGGAGCAAGGCAGAGCTGGAGGAGCAGAAGCGCTTACTGAACAAGACCGTGGACCGACTCAACAAAGAGGTAAACGTGGCTTGTGCGTACCCTCAGGAAGAGATGTGAGGCCTGCAGAAACCAACCCTGGAAGTGGGTCAGGATGTGTGACATTAATTTGCCTCAAATCTTACTTTGAAAAAAAGGCTGTTGTCATCATAATCATCTTGGTTTGTTTTTTGAGACAGGGTCTTTCTATGTAACCCTGGCTGCCCTGGAAGTCACTGTGTAGACCAGGCTGGCCTTGAGCCCACGGAGATCCACCTGCCTCTGTCTCTCAAGTGCTGGGATTAAGGGTGTATGTCACCATGCCTGGCCCTAATTATTATTTTTAAATTAGGTCTATGTATCTGTGTCTATGTGGGGGTTTATATGAGTGCAGTACCAAAGGAGGTCAGGATAGGGCATCAAGACTCCTGGAGCTAGAGTTACAGGCAGTGTGGGGCTGCCCAGTATGGGTGCTAAAAACTGAACTCAGGTCCTCTAGGAGAGCCGTGTGTAATCTTAACCACTCTCCAGCTCTTCCCGTACTCATAACCACTCTCCAGCCCTTCCCTTCCCCTTTTTTTTTTGAGACAGATCTCATGTAGCTAAAACTAGCATTGAACTCTGTATGTGTGTGCTACCATTCCTAGCCAGAATGTGATATCCTACTTAGTGGCAGTGGTTTTGTCCTGGGGTCTTCATTCTTGGAATTTGCTTTAGAAGTGTAGAAGACCTAAACACAAGAATCGTCCTTAGTTAAGGGTTAACTTTCAGGGAGAGGAAGAAGAAAGGGAGATAAGGAAATCAAATTACTTCTGCTGGCAAGGTTCTTCCTCCTGATCTTATTTTTACAAAACATGGCCAACTACTAGCAATGTCAATTTAGAACACAAAACATTTTATTTTCTTTGAAATAGCAGTTGAGGGTTTGTCATAATTCAGTTGGCAGATTTTCTTTTTTAGTGGTATATCTTATAACTGTGTCACCATGTTTGCAGAAATATGGTCAGGGAAGGTTTACTCAGTTCCAGCCACTGTTAAAAGTCCATTAAATAATTAGCATAACTCAATACCAACTCAACAATGTAGACACTGTTGTTATTCCATCTTATAGATGGGAAAATGAGATCAGAGATGGTAAGTGATAAAGCTCTCATCCATCCAGATATTTGAATATAAATACTACCCATACTGGGGATCCAGATCCGGAAAGCCACAGAGGGCTGCTTGGCAGAGAGGAGGCTCTTGGGAGACTTCTGGGAGCTGGGACTAGGGAAGGGGCAGGACATTTGGTATAGAGGTGCCGGGTGAGAAAAACGCTTTTCTCTGCATTTTAGCTGGAGCAGATTGCGGATGACTCCAAGCTAGCCCTGCAGCAGCTCCAAACCCAGATGGAAGATTACAAGGAAAAGGCCCGGAGGGAAGTAGCTGATGCCCAGCGCCAGGCCAAGGACTGGGCCAGTGAGGCTGAAAAGAATTCAGGGGGGCTGAGCCGGCTTCAGGATGAGGTAGGAGCCTAAGTGACTGGGAAGTGTCCTTTGATTTGAAGGTCATTGCCTCCTCACTGACCCTGTGGACTGGAGTGCTATGTCCCAGACTTAGGTATAACCACTAGAGTGGCATATGAAGACAGACAAGAGGGGATCCGTCATCCATACAGCAGGGGCTTTCAAACTGCTGCTGCGTATTAGAGTCACCTGGGAAGGTTTTTAAGACAGGTTTCTCTGTGTATCCGTGACTGTCCTGGAACTCACTTTGTAGACCAGGTTGGTCTCGAACTCACAGAGATCCGCCTGCCTCTGCTTCCTGAGTGCTGGGATTAAAGGCGTGCACCACCACCGCCCGGCGATTTTTAAAAATCTTAATGCCTGAACATCATTTCATATTACCTAGATTATAATTTGGGACCTAGGATTGATAGTTCTTTTTGCTTTTGTTTTATGTTTTGAGGCTAGCCTTAAACTCACAGAGTTCTGTTTGTTTCTGTCTCCTAAGTGCTAAAGGATTTAAGGCATGTACTACCATGTCTGACAGGGTGGACAGGTTTTTGTTTTTGTTTTTCAAGACAGAGTTTCTCTGTGTAGCTTTGGAGCCAGTCCTGGAACTCGCTCTGTAGAACAGGCTGTCGTCAAACTCACAAAGATCCACCTGTCTCTGCCTCCCGAGTGCTGGGATTAAAGGTGTGCTACACTATTGCTTGGTGCATTGGTAGTTTTAAAACCTCTTTAAATAGGCACAGTGGTGCCTGCTTCCCAGTAAAACTCTCAAGTAGTTCCCATTTGTGTAGAAAGTTTTAAGACAATGAAGAAAATGAATTAAAAGTGTTCTGTCACCATGAGCTGGCAGTTACAGGCAAGCTCTGTACCACTAAGCTGAGGTCCCAGCCTGGCACTAGAGAATCTCAGTGTAAAATACTTCTTCCCTTGGGCGGGCTGCTCCCACCCTCCGCCCCTACATGTCCGCTAGGCTGAGCTGTTGTATGTTGTCTTTGGGTCCAGCTGCAAAGGTTGCGGCAGGCCCTGCAGACATCCCAGGCTGAGCGGGACACAGCCCGGCTGGACAAAGAGCTGCTGGCCCAGCGACTGCAGGGGCTAGAGCAGGAGGCTGAGAACAAGAAGCGCACCCAGGACGACAAGTTGAGACAACTCAAGAGCCTCGAGGTAAAGGCGCAGACAGGCTGGGTGGGGAGAGAGGGGGTTCTGGGCAGGTGACATGTAAGCAGGGAAAGGAGCCAGTGTAGCCCAAGCTTTTTTTTCTGCGCTAGAGAATAAAATTTGAGAAGCCCCAATGGATGGTTTTGCTGGGTTACTGTGTCTTTTAAAGTATGAACTAAATGCAGCTGTTGAGAAATGTGTAGATGTCGTGTAAAGTTTTGGATCTCTGTCATCTTTTGCATTTGGACAGGGTTAGCACTGGTCTTCTTAGACCTGACTTCTATATGACACTAGTTGGCTGGAGCTGAGCATGGCTCTCCTCCCTTAGAGTGAATGATAGTCTCCAATTTGCTGTACTTGAAAGTGAGAATAATAGCAACAAGCATATAATGAATGCACTGTGGGTGTGGCACCTTAGACCTCAGAATCTCCCTGTGAGGCAGATGCTCTTGTCTCCACTTTATAGATAGGGAAAACTGAGATACAGAGATAAGTAACCTCCCAGTGGAACGGGTTCGGTGTCAGAAGCCGGTGGGTCTTATTTTCAGGCCCAAGTGGTTGGCTGGAATCCTGCTCTTCTGCATGGTACTGCTCGTGGCCTGAGTTTGCCCCTCACTGTGGACATGCCTGGCCTCTGCTGGGGAACCTGAGTTTCACTTTCATTTTTTCCACTAGGGAAATAGTTCTTCAAGAAGGAATGGATCCCAGGGTTTGCTTCCTGGTCAGCAGAGGGCGCTGGCTCAATGGTGGTTTTGAGCATTGAGAAGGTTTCTGGAATGTGCGGGACAAACGGGGCCTTGATCTGAGTTTGTTGTTCTAGGGCCCAGAATTTGGGACAGAGTTGACCTTTTGTCCTTCTGCCTCAGGAGAAAGTCTCCCGGCTGGAAGCAGAGTTAGATGAGGAAAAGAACACTGTGGAACTGCTGACAGAGCGCATGAACCGTGGCCGGGACCAGGTGACTCCCCGAACCCTCACTGTGCCTACTCCCCACTCGAACACCCTGGCTCTCTCAAAGACAGCTTTGCTCTCCTGTCTTTTATAACCTGGACGGTTCTGGCAAGGCAGTCTGCTTCAGGCTCTCATCGGCTTTGGAAAGCATAGACAGGTTTCCTTAGGTGAAAGGAAGCCAAGAATTGGAGTCTGGCTACAGTCCTGACCGCCCAGGCTGCACTGACCCTACTGAGGACTCTTTCAATTCACAAGTGCTGATTGTGGGATTTGGGAAGCCTTTCAAATGATTCCTCTCATTTGAATAGCTATAATTTCTTCTTTTAACCTGACACCCAGTCATCACTTTTTCATTTGTTTTTGTTGTTTTTTTGAGACAGGGTCTCCAATGTAGTCCTGGCTGACCTTGGAACATGCTTTGTGGACAGGCTGGCCTCATACTCACAGATCTACTAGCCCCTGCCTCCCAAGCACTGGGATTAAAGGCATGTGCCACCATGCCCACCTCAAATATCACTTTAACTTATAGTACTCCACTATTTCCCTTCCCATAAAACTCCTATCAGTATCGCAATGCTAAATGCATTCAGTCCAATTTCAAAAGTCCCTGTAGTCTTCCAGTACTGATACTGCTCAGAAGTCCAAAGTTCCAAATCTGTTCTGAGACTCAAAGCAAGCAGTCTTTAATTGTAAGCTCCACACCCACATCCAGCATCCAGGGCTCATGGTGACATCATCTGGCTCTGTTGGTCGTGGGCCGTCTTTCCCCTCCAGCTTTGCTACCTGGAGCTCACATGGCCTCTCTCCTCTCTCACCAGCTCTTGGTGCCTGCATCTTTCTACTGCAGGCGTCCCACATTCCTGGTACCTTAGACATCTTAGGTTCTCCAATGCAATTAGGGCTTCACTTTCACAGATTATGCAGTAGCTTTTCAGGGCCTCTTGCAGGAAACTTGATTTTCGGGGATACAGTCCAACATAATGAGGAAGGAGGATGAAGAATGTATGGTGACTAGTTAGGCCATTGAGAGTGGAATGCTGGTAACTCTAGGGTGAGAGTATTTAGCTGCCTGAGAATTTGGGGGGCCCGGGGTGCAGAGAGTGTCTTCCAGGGATCTCTCCTGTTGATTCACCTTGCTGCTTTAGCGTTAGTCTTTCCCAAGTCTAATTCTTCTCTTCCATTCCTAATAGGTGGATCAGCTGAGGACAGAACTTATGCAGGAGAGATCTGCTCGGCAGGACTTGGAGTGTGACAAAATCTCCTTGGAGAGACAGGTGAAAAGGAGTCTTGGGGGTAGACTCGGGGGAGGGGGGGCAGGCAGAGGATCACCTGGAGTGCTAACCAGGGCGTCTTCCCATCTCAGAACAAGGACTTGAAGGCCCGGCTGGCCAGCTCAGAAGGCTCCCAGAAACCCAGTGCCAGCTTCTCTGAGCTTGAGGCCCAGAACCAACAGTTACAAGAGCGGCTGCAAGCCGGAGAGAGGTGACATGAACCCATCATTTGTCCCTCTCCCCTCCTTTCTTCCTCTGGGTTTTTCTTCTCTGGGTCTCCCCTCATCTTCCACCTTGCGTGTGGCCAGCCTGGCCTCACCTTCAGGGACTCCTTTTTGCTCCTGATAATAGAGCAGAGTTGTGGGAATTCTGGGTCCTCCCCATCCACCAGTGAGGCTCATGACAGAAAAGCCCTTGGAGGCCGTACAGTGCTAAGTAAAGGCCCCCTGCTTTCCTGCTCTCTCTTAGAGAGAAGACAGTTCTGCAGTCCACCAACCGGAAACTAGAACGGAAAGTTAAAGAGCTGTCTATCCAGATAGATGATGAGCGGCAGCACGTCAACGACCAGAAGGACCAGGTGAGGACACGGCCCTCTGTGGACAAGCAGCCGTGGAGCGAGCATGTGCTCTCTTCAGGAGGCCACCATCCCCAATGCCTTCCACACTTAGAATTTGCTTGTGTAAGGATGAGATTAGCTTGAGAGATCTAGCCTAGAGTAGCCATGCCTCTGTATTGAGTGTGCTAGTTTCTCTACGTGTTATGTGTCCATGGACTCATTGAACCCCCAATGACCTTGTGTTGTGCTTGTGTAGATGGTGTATATGTGTATTCCTGTGCTCAAAGGTGCACATGTCACATGTGGGTGTTACTCATCGGGTACCATTCAGCTTTTTTTTTTCCACTGGCCTGGAACTTGCCAAAAAGGTTAGGTTGGCCACTGTGCCCTAGGGAGATTGTATGGCAAGCACCTCCTCTCAACAATTCCCTGAGGCTGGAGGACTTATGCAAGGTCACAACACTTTGGGGGAGATGTGAGCATTTGTCCCTTGTCAGAATCATCGCTCAGCCCTTTTCTCATGTGGTAATGTGGAGTAACTGCTTGTCTAATGTGGGGCATGCTGTCCTGCTTAGCTGAGCCTGAGGGTGAAGACTTTGAAGCGGCAGGTGGATGAAGCTGAAGAGGAGATTGAGCGGCTGGACAGCCTGAGGAAGAAGGCACAGAGGGAGCTGGAGGAACAGCACGAGCTCAATGAGCAGCTCCAGGCCCGCATCAAATCCTTGGAAAAGGATGCCTGGTATGGCCGCCTTTCGGGACCTCGCTCTGCACCATGCTTCATGCTGGGGGTTGGGGTGGGCCCTGTGAGCCCTGTGAGCAGCTATAGGTCTTTGTGTGGAAGGGTGATGGTCTCAGTCTGGTCCTTCTCTCTCTGACTCAGGCGAAAAGCTTCCCGCTCAGCTGCCGAGGCGGCGCTCAAACAAGAGGGTCTGAGCTCTGATGAGGAATTTGATGGCGTCTACGACTCCTCATCCATTGCATCTCTGCTCACGGAGAGCAACCTGCAGACCAGTTCCTGTTAGTGCATGCTCTGCTAAGGACCACAGACGGGCTGGAAGACTGCTTTGCTCTGTCCTGCCTGCCTCCAGAGTGTTCTTTTCCAATGGGTGACCCGATTCAGACTTTGGACAGGGAGGGGTCAGAGTGATGGTGACCTGTTAGCAATGAGCTGGTGGGTGGGCTTGTCCTTGTCACTGGAAGAGTGGATAGGCCTGCTGAGCCCTTCCTATAGGTGCTGACCTCTCCCTCATCTCCCTTAGAGTGGGACTGATGGTCAGCATATACACTGCTTGGGGCTGCAAAGGACAGGAAAGGATGGATATTGCCATGTATGTAAAGCTTTATTTCTTTAATATTTAACCATATGGCTCAGGGAAATGGGCAATGTTCTGCTCCCTGGATCTCTGCAACCTTTTTTCCTCCCATTTTGAAGCAGGGGAGGGAACATGATGGGTAATGGGCATGCGGGCGTGGCTCTGCCCACTTTTCAGATACTGTTTTTTTTTTTTGCACAGTCATGGGCCCATGAGTAGTCCCTAGCATCTCTTCAGTTGCAATATTTGTGTTTTCTCCATGTCACCGGGTCCAGGAGACCTCTGGTCCTCTTTCCATGGTTACCATCCCTGCGCTCTCAGTGCCTTAGCAGTGTGAGATGAGGCTGCTGTTCTTGCCTTCATAAACCCGCACATTCATACCTCTCCAAAGATCAGCCTCTCCTCATGGGGCCCGCAGCCTGTCCTTCCTTAGTGACTAGGCAGGAGAGCGTCAGGCTGCTTTGCCAACCAGCCCCTGGGAGACGGACTTTGATGGGCCTTGGTAAGGTGGTGGGGATTACTTCCTCTCAGGGCTTCCATCTTTCTTCTCGCCTTCCGTGACTGTATGCTGTCATAAAGTGGTTGCACGTGGGAACCATGAGTCTGAAAGCAAGCATCTAGTCCCTGTGGCCTCCTGTGGCTTCTCTGACCAGGTGTGCCCAGCCTCGATGGGAACCAACAGATCCCTGTTTTTCTCAGGAAGTGGACCCTGGGTCAGAGCTTTGCCTGGGATTAGAAGCTGACTGTCAGTATGATGGGAAGGGGCAATGGAGAATTTATTCTTCCTTTGAGTCAAATTTGGGGTGTGCCAAGCTCTGGGGGGGTGAAGGTGACTGGGATGGTTCACCTCTTATTTCCAAAGTAAGTTCTGTTCTCATCAATCACTTGTAATTTCATGAATTGAAAAAACAAAATATTCTGTAAATCAGATATTTTCTCCTAATCCAATCCAGCCTTGTTTATTTTAAATTAAATATTAAAATGGCATATCTATATTGAAATTCCTGTCTTCATTTTCCTGGCTAATTTGAGGGTCTACTCTATAGTTGTTTCTTTTTTAAATTATTTAACTTTAGTTTATGTGCATTTATGTGAAGGTATCAGATCCCCTGGACCTGGACTTACAGACAGTTGTGAGCTACCATGTGGGTGCTGGGAATTGAACTCAGGGCCTCTGGAAGAGTAGCCAGTGCTCTTAACCAGAGCCATCTCTCCAGCCCCAGGTTTTGTTTTATAAGTTTTTTAACATTTGTGTGTGCTGCATGTGTGAATGTTGTGTGAATGCATGTGCATGCATATATATGTGTATGAATGTATGTATGTTCTCTGACCTCTATAGGTCAGAGAACAGCATCTGAGAGTCCTTGCTCTCCACAGTGTGGGGCCCAGGGATTGAACTCAAATTGTCAGGCTTGGCAATAGGCACCGTTACCTGCTAAGCAGGCCTTGTTTCAAGGAGTCATTTAAACTGTACATTAAAATGAGGCTTTAGCTCATTTTAGAGGTCTCTCATAACTGATCAGGGATCTAGGAAATATGGACTAATAGTAGAACCTCTGGGAATAGTAAAGAATGCTGCATTAGTTATTCTTCTGTTGCTGTGGTAAAATGCCATGACCAAGGCAACCTAGAGAAAGAAGTTTTTACTTGGGCTATGGTTCCAGAAGGCTGAGTCTATCACCATCATGATGGGGAGGCACAGGGGCAGGCAGGCAGAAAGTTGATAGCTCACATCCCAAACGACAAGCAGGAAAGCAGAGAGAAAACTGCGGATGGGGGGAGTCTTGGAACTCTGAAAACCTGCCCCAATGATGGAATTCCTCCAGCAAGACTAAACCTCCTCAACCTCCAAACAGTGCCTCCATGTCAGGGGTGTTCTCACCAAAACACAAGTGCCGCCTTTGAGGGACAGAAGAGACCAGAACTGGGTTTTTCTCCTCTCCTAGCTCACTGGTATCTCCAGGTTTTTTCTTCCGGGTGTAGAGCAAGCATCAAATTCTAACTGGCAAGTGACTCAGAGGCCAGTTCCACTCCCCCTCACTTGAAGGAGCTAGTTGTTCGCCAAAACGAATTCTAGCTGTAGTAGTGCCGCCTAGTCTTACACACTGCCTGTCCTCCCTGTAGATCAGTCAGTGAGATAGCCACCTACCAGAGTTCAGCCCTCAAGAGTCCAGCCTAGGCTTAAGAAGCAAATGCCATTGGTGCAGCTGAGACTCACCTTTTAAGGCAATGTGTCCCGCCTCTCCCGACCATATAAGGGCAGCTTCTGCAAAACAAGCCCCACCCAGAGCTTAGCTGGCTTTGACTTTGGCCTGGGCGGCTTGCCAGGGATAAGCACCTGCCAGACTGGCTTAGACTAGTCCTAGTGAGCTGGCCCTTGGTGCCTACCTTTTTACCACGGAGGAAAGATTTACTCAGCTCTAAAAACGCTACAGGCTGGTTTACATTTAGGAAGAGGAGAGACCATAGAAGCATGTGCCGGCCCCAACTCACTATTTACAGAGGACCACACAGGTCCTTTCCCTACACCGATCCTGGAGACCTGAAAGGAGGCAAGACTATTGAAGAATTCTGAGATACCACCACAGACAACTACTTCGTCGTACCAGAAGTAAAGCTCTTATTAAGCGACCACCCAACCTTCACTCCCAAGCCCCACCTTTATGTAAATATGCGATAATATTAGCAGGCAAGTCCTGAAGTCTCTTGGCACCGCCCACCTCTCTCTTCCGCTCTACTCATTGACAAATACCGCGTTGGGCGTGGCCCCCCTTAGACCCCGCCCAGACGCGCCTATACAAGGGGGCGGTTCGGCGGGCGCCTGCCCAGTTGTCGCCGGACCTCAGAGTTGAGGGCGCTTGTGCGACCTCCGTGGAAAGATGAACGGGACGCGAAACTGGTGTACCTTGGTGGACGTGCACCCGGAGGGCCAGACCGCGGTAGGTCCTCGCGCTCACCCCGTCTTCTCCCTGGGCACTGTGGCTTTCCAGTGGCGCCGCTCCGGGGTTCATGCTGAGCTAGCCGACATCACCTGACGACCGACTTGGTGCGGCCAGTCCCCGGTCGCCCCATGCGCTTTCTTCCTTTGCCTTGTGGCGGATGGCGGCGTGGGAGGCACGGGACGAAACCCTGGCGACTCCCGGTCTGGGGAGTACCTGTCCTTTGCGAGAACACTGCAGCACCGGCCCGGGGACAGGGCGCGTTACTCAGGCGTCCTGTGGGCAGCTTGATAGGGTCGTGGGAGACGCTCAAGGGACCCGATCCCTGCGCCGTTTCGTACATTGTGCGGGTCCAGGCGAGTTAGGCTTTTCCGCGTGTCCGGATGGCTTCAGAAACCCTTCAAAGACTTTTATGGTGCTTCGGGTGATCCTTTAACTAGAAAAGGGGGCAGAGGGTGGAATCCTAGGGTTGGGAATTGGTCAGAGATTCTACCTTTTGCTAAGAGAATGGGTAGAGCTTTCCACTTGACGGTCCCCTCTTTCGAATTTCTCCTTTTTTTCATCTTGCTTTTTTGATCCCCTCCCTCTTTCAGTCAACCAGTAGCTTCCTGGGTTTTGCTTCCGTGTCCAGTTGCCAAGCCCCGGGAGTGGGTGAAGGCGATGTCTTGGAACCTAGGCGGAGACAGGAACCCTCCTGGAGAGGGTTAGGGAGAGACAGAGAGCGCGTTCTCCAGTGCAAGCCAGTTTTCCCTGGTCCCCCATGCCCTCCCCACTCCAGCACCCTCAGCTGACCGCATGATTTTTCTCTATCCAAGGGAAAAGCCAGTAATTTGATGCTGAATGTTTCTAGGCGTTCCTGGGGGATCCAAATACACCGTAGATCTGTGCTAATTAATTGATTTCCAAGCTATTGTGGGAGAGTGAAATGAGAGCCAAGGTAATGGGGGGTTGTACCCCCCCATCTGACTCCTTTGGTTCTGCCTGTCTCAACATGTCCCTGAGGCAGAGCTAACCCGGCCACAGAAGGATTATGGCTCTTCTTCAAAGAATAGTTGTAGAATAGGCGCTCATTTGAAGGTTAGAGTACAGCTGGTCATTGAAGCCTGCTCACGGTCCCCTTGTCATTTTTGCCTAGAAGTATGAATGTTTCTGCCACATTACAAGTCTTGACACTGCCCAAACCTCAGCCTTTCCCCCCAGGTAAGAGATGCTGACCAAATGGAAACAAAACAAAACAAAACCAACAACCAATCAGCCTCAAGTCCTCCATGCTCTTGCTGTTTTGGAATGGTTGAGAAAGGGAAAGAAAGAGGAATGAGTAAGAGTGAGGGCTCCTGGGCTTCTTTTTGCTTGGTGTAGAAAAAAGACCCACATCATGGAGGAGAAAGATGTAAGACCATGGCAACACAGAGAAGGATCTGCTGCTGTCCCCTGATTCCTTTGTTGCTTCTTTGATGGGATAGAAAACAGAGATGGAAAATAGCAAGGAATTTGCTCTTGGGCGTAAGAGGGTTTAGAGTTGACTAGAGAGCTTTGTATCAGAGGGGAGGCAGGCCAGACCAAAGGTTTACTTTGCTGTAAAGCCCGGAGTGAAATAACCCTTGCCTGGGTTTCCTCGTGGAGACATTCCTGAGTTCTTGAGGAGGAAGGACAGATGGTAAACAATCAACCAGTCAGGAGACAGGCCTTGTCCTGGATTCCTCTCCTCTGAGCCAGTCTGCAGATAGAATTTATGGCCCTGGACAGTCCCTGGGAGGCTGTCATGTAGTCATGCACTCATACCACTGAACGGTACTCAGTGAGGATGCAAAGGGTTCCAGTAAATAAATGAATCAATGGATGTCTGATTTATGTGGCGCCGGGTGTTGAACCCAGGACTTTGGGCATGCCAGGCAATCTTTCAGCTAATTGAGCAATGTCCCTGACAAAACCCACACCTCCACCAGGAAAATACTGTAGGTACTGAGGCTTGAACCTGGGCTTCATGCCCCTCCCATCCTCCAGCCCCCACAATTTGGAAGTGTAGACAGTTGGAGCCAGAATCCTGGGATCACCTGTCTTTTGGTGCTTCCCGCTTTGATGTGGAAGTGCAGCTAATACACTGTACTGCCTTTGTCGTTGGCCATTTGTAAAGGCAAAGTCTTTCAAAACTGCAGACCATAGCCACTACTGGGTCTGAAATCAACATAGTGGGGAAGTCCGTTCCCAGCACTGTACCCCACCTTTGTTTTTTGGGAGTGCCGCCCTCTTCCTGTCACTGAGCAAACATATAAACAAAAACATACTGGGAAGGATGGGCATAGCAGCTCACACCTTAAATCCTAGAATTTGGAAGACAGAAGCAGATGGGAATTTGAGGCCAGCCTGCTAAATATCAAATTCCAGGCTAGCCGTGACTACATACCTTGTAAGACCTTGTCTCAAAACAAAAAGCCATAGAGGAGGAGAAACAGTATTTGAAAAAAAAAAATAGAGCTAACATCCCTGTAGTGTTGGCAAGGTCTTTTGAATAAAAATATTGTGTCAGCTATATGTGAGTTTGAAGGGATTAAAGGTGCAGACCACCATGTCTGGTTGTAAATGTATTTTAATGTAAAAAATGTTTGTTTGAAAGTGACTTTGGCAAATTATATTGGCATAGAAAGTACAAATGACTATCAAACTCATTCTTATTAGACATTTCTATTACCTTCCTTTGTTTATAGTAAACAGCACAAAGTGATCTAGCTACCTTAAGAAGAACTTACTAGAAGGTAAAGGAAAGCTTAAAAAGTCCAAACGAAGGGAGTCCTGGGAAGCAACATGGATGCTTTCTACTCCTGGGTGGTTCCAGCTGTTTCAGGTTCTTTTGACATTCTTCTGAGATTCCAGGGAGAGGTACCATAGTCCCCTGGCATTCTCCTTATCTAGAATAGAGCAGGGTTCCTGGGCTGGCAGGTTTACAAGGTTGCCCGGTGAAGGAGAGCAAAACCCAAATGTTGTCATCAGTACAGGACCATGGGGTTGTGTGTAAAAGAGCACATGTGACATGGGTGATCTGCCCACCTTCCTCCTTCCCTCCCTGTCTCCCTCGTTCCCCCCTTTCTTTGACTTTATATTTTTAGTTGTGAGCCTAGCCTTTAACAACTGAGCCATCGCTCCAGCCCCCTTTGACCTTTTAAATGAAAAGAATACATGTTAGAGGGATAGAGGGATGGCTTAGTAGTTCAGAGCTCTAGTTGATTTGATTCTCAGCACCCTCTAAACAGCTAACAGCCATCCACAACTTCAGTTCCATCTTGGGTGCCCATTTCTAATCTTCAAGGGCACCAGGCGTGTGGTGGTGCCCTTGGAGATTAGAATACATATGTATGTATACATACATACATATAGGAAAAACAGTCATATGTATAAAGTAAATAAGTAGATAACATTTAAAGAATACCTGCACATAATTTATTTTTAGTTTTTATTTTTATTTCCTGGCACTTTGAGGCGAGGTCTCATGTACCCTAAGCTACCATGAAACTCCTGGTCCTCCTGTCTCACCTCCCAAGTGCTGGGGTTTTAGCAGGTGCCACCACGTCCTGCTCTTGCCCATGATTTCAAACACAAAACTAAATTCAAATGATTTGTGAAAGAATATTGTTGTTCTCTTAGATCTGCTACATGGAATGGCCACTTTCGGTTCTTACCTGTTTTGTCTGATGTGAATCTGTTTCTAAATAATATGCTTACAGTAATGTTTTTCTTTTCCCTTTTAAAAATTACATTTGTTTATTTACTTGGGGGGCAGGAGTGGGACTATCCCGCGGCACATGTGTGGAGGTTGGAGACATGACAGGGAAGTCTGTTCTTCCTACCACGTGGGTTGTGTCGTTAGGTTTGTCCTCAGACACCTCTTTGCTAAGCCATTAGTTGGCTCCTTCTCCTCAGCTTTTAGTTTCCTTGCTGCCCTCAAACCCCGAGACGATGTCCCTGAACATCTGCTCTTCACCTCCTGAGTGCTAAGCTTACAATCGTTTGACAACATGCCTGATTCCTGTGGTGCTGGGGGTTGAACCCAGGACTTTGGGCATGCCAGGCAAGCTGTCTTCTAGTTAAGCTACACCCCCAGTCCAAGCCACCCCCAGACCCCACCTGGAAAACACTGGAGGCACAGAGGATTGAACCTGGGGCCTTGTGAATGCTGAGCAAGTGCTCTACCACAGAGCTGCACCTCCAGTCACCCCCCCATCAGTTTTAGATATCTATTGACTTGTAGGAATTATAAGGAGGTTATATTCTTATTTTTTAGACACCCCTTTCTTGATATTGTGTATAACCACAATTTGTAGTTAACCTGTGATTTCTATTAATAGCATTGCGGTTAAGAGAGCATGGCTCTGGGGCTGCTAGATTGCTTACCTGGCATGCACAAGGCCCTGGATTGGATCACCAGCACTATGCAAACTGGGTGTAGTGGCACATGCCTATAATGCCAGCACTTACTCAGGAAGATCAGAAGTACAAGGCCATCCTTGGTACATAGGGAGTTCAAGGCCAGCCTGGGATACATGAAAATTTGTCTCAAAGTAAATAAGTAATTAATAATTTAAAAGCTTTTAAAAAGAAGGCAGCATAACTTGTGAGTCTGACTAAGTGCTTTGCTAGAGTACTTTGGTAATTGATTTCTTCATTTTCAGTTTCCTCATATGTAAGAAGAGAATAATCATGCCTTCTCATAAGATCATTATGGGGATTAAGTAAGATAATATGTATGAAACATTAACATAGCGCTTGGCACGTGGTAAGTGTTCAGATGTTAGCTATTATTTTCTGCTTGCTACTGGTGTAAACTGGATTGTTTTAACTGCATCTGGGCACCCAAGCCTACGGTGGAGGAACTAGGAGGATTCTTTGTGTGTGTAGGTATATGTAGAGGCCGGATGCTGACATCAGGATTACTTTCTCAGTCTCTGGGGGTCTGTACTCTGGTTATCATCGTGTTTGTATAGCAAGCACTTTACCTGTTGAATCATCTCCTCTTCCTCCACGCCACCTCCTTTTTGAGGCAGAGTCTCATACTGTACCCAGGCTGGCCGAGAACTAAGGTAGCCCAGGATGGCCTCAGATTTGCTGTGGTCCTCCTGTATCAGCCTCCAAAGTGTTAACAATTGAAGTCATGTGCCACTATGCCTGGCCCTGACTTTGGTCAAGTTTTGCTCCATTTCATTTTGGCATTTGCTGCAGCTTCTTCCTTTTTTTTTTTTTTTAATTTTATTTATTCAGTATACCGTGTTTTGCCTGCATGTATACCTGCAGGCCAGAAGAGGGCACCAGATCTCATTACAGATGGCTGTGAGCCACCATGTGGTTGCTGGGAACTGAACTGAGGATCTCTGGAAGAGCAGTCAGTGCTCTTAACTTCTGGGCCATCTCTCCAGCCTTGTTTTTGTTTTTTGAGACAGGGTTTCTCTGTAGCCCTGGTTGTCCTGGAACTTCTTCTGTAGACCTGGCTGGCCTCAAACTCAGAGATCCTCCTACCTCTACCTCCTGAGCTCTGGGATTAAAGGTGTGTGTCACCATATTTATTTACTCTTACCTGTTCCTTTCCCCTTTCCTTGATATTCTGGGTCCCTTTGCCAGTGTAGAGCGGGGCTGTGGGTAGGTCCAGGATCGAGAGCTGAGTGACTTTCGCTTGTCAACAGGGCTGGACCTTAAGAGCAATAGTGAAGGTTAACGGTCCCGTTTCTCCTGACCAAGGGAGCTGCTGAACTCTAGGCTCTCTGGGCTGTTCTTTCTTATCTCTGTTACCCTTCCTTATACACTGTACTTTTCCCTCCCTCCCTTCTTTTTATTTCTTTTTTCTTGTTTCTCTTTGTAGCCCTGGAACTTGCTATGTAGACCAGGCTGGCCTTGAACTCACAGAAATAGCCTGCCTTTGCCTCTGGAGTGCTGGGGTTAAAGATGTGTACTACCACACCTGGCTTTTTTTTTTTCTTTGGCAGGGGAGGGAGTCTTGGCAAAACTGGGTAGACTTGGAATTTGTTTTACCTGCCGAATTATAAACCTTTGTCTTTACTGTGAATTAGATGCTTTCTGTAAGACTTCAAGAGCTGAAATAGTTTAATAGTCTACTTTTTCTTTAGTTAAAAATTGGGCTGTAAGGAGTTAAAGAAATGGCCCGGCAATTAAGAGCACTGACTCCTCTTATAGAGGAGGACCTGGGTTCATGTCTTAGCACCCAGATGGCAGCTCACAACCATCTGTAACAACAGTTCCAGGGGATGATGCCCTCTTCTGGCCGCTGGGGGCACCAGGTACTTATGTGGTACACAAATACACATGTAGGTAAAATACTCTTGTACATTAAGCAAACACAGGAAAATATTTCAAAAATTGGGATGTGACTTATTGTAAGCATATCATGAATTTGGTGGGGGGGGGGCAGGTTCAAGACATGGTTTCCCTGTGACTTTGGAGGCTGATCTGGAACTAGCTCTTGTAGACCAGGCTGGCATCGAACTCATAGATATCCACCTGCCTCTGCCTCCCGAGCGCTGGGGATTAAAGGCGTGCACCACCACCACCTGACTTGCATACCATGAATTTTAACCATTTTTATAAGCTTTATTAAAATTATTACACTACATGATTCACCAATTTAAGGTATATAACTCTGTGGGTTTTTTTAAAATATATTCAGAGTTACATGGTTACCACTGAACCAATTTTAGATTCTTTTACTCACTTCATAAGGGAATCTTCATCTATTGGCAGTCACTCACTCCCCATCCCCCACCTCCCCAACCTCAGAGGGCTTCTAGTCTACTCTGCCAATGGATTTTCAACCTGTCTGTTTTTACATTTCATACAGATGAAGCGGTGCAGTCTGGCGGCCTCCTGACTGTCTTCCCAGGTCATGCTGCATTAAAGGCTCGTACGCATATAACATGGCAGTTCTTCATTCATTGTTAGAACTGAATGGTACTCCATGTTTAACTATAGTATCACAAATACGCTCGTCATGGAGTAAATGGTGGACCTCTGAGTTATTTCTACTCTTTGGCCCTTGTAAATATTGCTGCTATGAAGTTTTATAAGCTTTTGTAGACTTATGCTTCCTCTTTAGCTGGTTGTGCAGTACCTGGGAATGGAATTGTCCGACCATTCTTATTCTCAAAGAGGACTGAGAAGCTAGGGACAGAGCTTTGTTGTTAGATGGTCAACTAGCATGCATGGAGTCCCTGTGTTCAACTCCTGGTACTGAGTAAACCTGACATGCTGGCACAGCACTCCCCAGGTAGAAGCAGGCAGGTTAGAAGTCCATCCTTGGCTACACAGTGAGTTTGAAGCCAGCCTAAGATGCACACAAAAGATGAGTGCCCCGTGGTCACTGGTGCTTACTCCAACGGGATGAGTTCTAAAACCGTCTCCGTGACACCAGGGTAAGGAAGAAACTCTTGGGTGGAGGAATCCTTCAGGTTTGGAGACTATTTCTATCAGCCCCTGCCCCTGCCCCAGACTCCCCAGACTCATCAAGTCTGAGTTTCTCCTCACACCATTCCCCCTACCCCTTTTATTGCCAGCTTTAACTTTTCAGTGAGGTCTCCAAGCCTGCCAGGAATTCAGGGAGAGCCTGGCTTTCTTGCCTGGCTTGGGAGGGGACGAGGTGAGAGAGGAAGGTTACTTAATCATGTGGCACTAACATTACCCATAGTTCTCTGGGGTGGAGGGAGGTGTGCTCTGGGTGGTTTCGGTTCCAGGACCTGTGCTCAGATTGGGTGGGACGAGCTTCCCCGCCTGTTGGTAATTATGGCATGTGCCTCTTTGGGTCACGGTGCAGTCTTGTGAAACACCTGTTTCTTAGGGGTGGGCAGGTTTAGTTGGGGCAATGGATGTGTGCCAAGAAGACTGCTGGCCCAGATTTAAGCCTGGGCAGCAGAGGCAGGAAGAGAGGAGAATACGGGCTGGGTAGAACCGGGTGGAGATGATAAATGAAAGAAGAGTATGAGAGCAGGAAAACCAAATCACAAAGCAAGGTGTTCAAGACTAGGGAAGCTTCAACCTTTAGTAGCATTGGGCCTGGGGAGTTCCCCTTCTTCCAGCCAAGCTGAGCTTGAGGCATGTGTCCTGGAGGGAGACTAAGTCAGCAGCAGGTAGCTCTCCTTCAGAGCTGGGGTTTGGGAGCTCACCCCCTTCAGTGTACACAATCTCACTGCCAGGCACCCGTGTAGGGCTCCGGATTATGAGAAAAGGTGCCCCATCTAGGGTGTTGCTCCAAGTCACATTTTATTTTCCCAGTCAGGGTGAGTCCATTGTGGTGCTTGTCCAATCCGTGCTATGGGTAGGCTGCCAGATGAAAGATAAACTCCCCTCCTGTTCCCTCCTGTGAGGAGGAGGGAAGGGAAGGAGTCTGTCTCCTGAACGACCGGGTGCACGAAGCCCACACACCCAGTGAAATGGGAGCTTTCCCTGAGAGAGTGTGGGCACCCAGTCATTCCATCCGTCCTGTCCTCTTCTGTGACTTCATGAACTTCCCTCATGCTGGCTTCTCAGGAGCCAGTGTTATGACAAGGTGGCATTCTCAGTTTTCAGGTGGACATAAGCTGGACAAGCCACAGACAGGGCTGGCAGTGACTAAGGTGGTCACTACAGCAGCTGCTGTGAGACTGTGTATGCTTGCAGGAGTTGGGTACAAGGTGAAGGTGACTTAGAGGTTTTCGGTTCAGCGACCATTTCTATTTACCTTCCCTGTTTGACCCAGGCATCTTCCCCTGCACTCTCCCAGTATTAGTGGCTCCTTGGATGCCTGGAGAGTGGGTTCTAGGGAAACTGACCGTTCCCATGGATCTTTTCCCACTCGGTAAGCCTGTGCTGTGGGAACCCCTGGGGCCCCCTGTTTATCTCCTGGGGCCTCCCTATTTATCTCCTATCACCTCTTTCTGAGCCTCTTGATCTGTTAAGCCCTTAGCTATGTGTTTACCCCCTCCCTGCTTTGAGGAGTGAGTCATACCGCTGGTTTGTTTGAACAGGACTCAGAGGTTGTTGTAATTGGAGGTAGCTGGGCTTCTCCACAGAGTGTTTATGAGGTTAGAACCCTGCTCACCTTGTGATTAGTACTGCTCTGTGTCCCCTGGAGGAGACTCTCATCCCCTGTAGCCTTACCCAGGCCCCAGTAGGGACACTTTGGGGGTGCTTCTAAAGCTCTTTTCTGCCTGAGCACAGCCCTGAGGTCACTGCAGTTCCAGAGGACACCTCTTCTCACCAAGTAGTGAGGAGTTCTAGGTTTTCCATCCTTGGCACTGTTTTGGAGTTGTGGGGTGAGGTCTGTGGCTTTGTGGCATCCTCAGAGAGCCCTGGACTTTTCTCCAGGGCCATTGAGACAGTCTATGAGATGCCCTCCTCCCTTGGGCTGCTTGGGTACAGTGCTGCCTCCATGCTTTTGAAATTATGGGTCACTGACACTTTCACACTGCCCCATACTGAACAGGGTGGGTATGATCACCCCCACTCTACAGACCATAATCAGGGTCCAGGGAGCGCTCGCAGGACGAATGGACGCCACATGGAATTCACATGCTCCACGCGGACTAGCCTCAGTACCTTTTTTCCTGTCTCTTCACTGTAATATTTGCTATAGGAGTGGTAGGCAACATTCCACTGGAAAGTTTAAAATACCACAGAAGGGGCTGGGGAGATGACTCAGTCCGTAAAGTACTTGCTGGGCACGCTGAAGACCTGGATTCTATCCCAAGTACGCGTGTGTATAAAAACCAGGCATGATGGCGGGATCCTTGAAATTCCAGTGCTGGAAGGCGGAAACAGGAGGGTCCCTACACTTCACTGATCAGCAGTCTAGCCTAGTCTGTGAGCTTCAGGCCACGGACAGACCCCTTCTAGAAAGAACAAAGTAGATGGCTACTGAGGACTGACACCTGAGGTGGTCTTTTGGCCTCCATATATATATGCATACCCATGGGCATGCTCACCTACACAAACATACACAGATAGACATGCACACATGGAAACCCAAAACCATGGAAATACATGGAACAAAAGGCCTTTCACACCTCTCCCCCACTCTCCCCTTCCCCCTTTGCTGTTCTTCCTTCCTTTCCAGTGTCTCCTAGTCCAGGTTAACCTCAAACTGGTGGATAGCCAGGATGACCTTGAACTTCTGGTTATCCGTGTGTGTGTGTGTGTGTGTGTGTGTGTGTGTGTGTGTGTGTGTGTGTGTGTTCGTTCAGTGCTTTTCCTGCGTGTTTACTACAAATGCCATGTGGCATCTTGGTTAGAAGCCCAGACTAGAGCCACAGGTCTTAGGTTTGAATCCTGGCTCTGTCTCTGATTAGTTGCATGACAGGACTCTTAACTTCTGAACGTGGTTTTAAAATTAGAACATTGGTGTCTACTGTATGATATTGTTAGGGTTAAATGAGTGAGCGCATGAGAAGTCCCTGGAATGGAGCCCAATAGGGTCCCACACATAGTAATTGCTGTGTGTAGGAGTTGGCAATTACTGTGTGTTTGTGTACTTTAACAAATGAAAATCCATGTTTTGTGAATTAGTGTCTAGTTTTCTTTTTCTTTTTTTTAAATTTAAGAGCCCAAGCTCCCTTCAACTCACTGTGTAGCCCAGATTGGCTTCAGATTCTTGTTAGTCTCTCAAGAGTTGGGGATCTGCCTTAGGTGGGGTTGGGGATCTGCCTTAGGTGGGGTTGGGGATCTGCCTTAGGTGGGGTTGGGGATCTGCCTTAGGTGGGGTTGGGGATCTGCCTTAGGTGGGGTTGGGGATCTGCCTTAGGTGGGGTTGGGGATCTGCTTTAGGTGGGGTTGGGGATCTGCCTTAGGTGGGGTTTTAATGCTGTGAGGAGACACCATGACTACTGCAACTCTTATAAAGGAAGACATTTAACTGGGGATGGCTTACAGTTCAGAGGTTTAGTCCATTGTTGTCATGGTGAAAAACATGGCAGCTTCCAGACAGACACGGCACTGGAAAGGTAGCTGAGAGTTCTCTATCTGATCTGCAGGCAGCAGAAGGAGAACCATACTGGGTATAGCTTGAGCATATGAGACCTCAAAGCCCACCCCTAGAGTGACACACTTCCTGCAACAAGACCACACCTACTCCAATAAGGCCACACCTCCTAATAGTGCCATTCCCTATGGACCAAGCATTAAAACATGAGTCTGTGGTGGTCATACTTACTTAGACTTCCACAGGGTCACACGTGTGAATCACTTTGTGGCCTTTTTGTGGTTTAACATTTTCTAAAATTTTATTTTATTATGTATATGGGTGTTTTGCCTGTACATGTTGACTGTGTACCACATGCTTGCAGTACCTGTAAGAGGGCATCTGATGCCCTGGAAGTGGAGTTATAGACATTTGTGAGTCACCATGTGGGTGAACCTGGTCCTCTACAAGAGCAGCCAGTACTCTTCACCCCTGAGCCATCTTTCTAGCACACACCCCCTTGTGTTTTGAGTCTCTATGTAGCCAGGCTGGCCCTTGTTGTGCCCAAGTTGCAAAGTCCCCAGAGACCAACAGGAAGATAGACCCACCAAAATGCAAAAGCAAGGTTTTAATTGTTCATCCACCCATAACAGGTACCCCGTCTAGCAAGCTGACACAGCAGCCTCCAGAGGGAGTGAAGTTTCCTGTCTACTGTTAGGTTTTAAAGACAAAAGTTACAGGATTACATCAGTAGGTACCGGTTGGTTCCTGATTGGTTGACATTTGGGAACAATTAGGAGTATTTCTCAAAGTCTTATTTTGGCATGAAATACCTGTGTACCAATTATTTTCACTGATAGTGCTAAGAGGGAACATTCTGTGGTTTCTATGGCATTGTCTTTTTTTTTTTTCTTTTGGTTTTTCGAGACAGGGTTTCTCTGTATTGTTTTGGAGGCTGTCTTGGAACTCACTCTGGAGACCAGGCTGGCCTTGAACTCATAGAGATTCACCTGCCTCTGCCTCCCGAGTGCTGTGATTAAAGGCATGCGCCACCAACACCTGGCGGCATTGTCTTGTTACTTGCAGGTGGCCTGTTGTACATAGATACCAATAAATTTCAAAACTATATCCTGGAGAATCTCTGAGTTCAAGGCCAACCTGGACTACAGAGTGAGTGCCAGGACAGAAGAAAAAAAAATTAAGGCATGTGCCATCACACCCAGCCTATTGATTTAATTTCATTTTTAAAGACAGGGTCTCTTATAGCCCAGGTTGGCCTAGGACTTACTGTGTAGTTGCGGACAGTCTTGAACTTGAGATCTTCCTCTGTTTCTACCTCCCAAATGCTGGACTACCGTTGTGCACCTATATACCTGGTGTGTATGGTGCTAGGGATGAAACCCAGGGCCTTGTGCATGGTAGGTAAGGATTCTACCAGTTGAGTCACAGCCCTAACCTTCATGTTGAGCCTTGAAGACTGAGTAGGAATTCTCTAAGGAAATGGGGATGGGAGGGGCTGGGGTGGAGTATAGTTCCAACTGTTCCAACTGCTATTCCTTTTCTGCAAGGAGATGGGAAAGTGATCCAGGTACTGTTATGGATCATTTTCATCTATCAAACAAAAGATTGTTTTAAGGTTTACTTATTTTGTATCATGTGTGCGAGTGTTTTGACAGTGTGTGTGTGTGTGTGTGTGTGTGTGTTTTCACTGTGTATCTGAATGTCAGCTGCCCATGGAGGCCAGAAAAAGGGTTGGATCCCTGGAACTAGAGTTATAGCTGGTTGTGAGCTGCTGTGTGGGTGCTAAGAATCAAACCAGTGCTCTTAACCACTGAGCCATCTCTCCAGCCCCAATATTTTCTTTTTAAAAACCTGTTTTATTATTTGTGTGCATATATAGGTTTGTGCATGAGACATAGTGTTGGGGGGGCAGAGGGAGAGAGAGAGAGAATAAATGACAACCTACATAGGTGTTGGTTTGAATAAATTAATTTACCCTTTAGATAGAGCATTAGTGAGCATTAAAAGCAGTTTGGGCTGAGGCAACAGGATCACAAGTTCAAAGACAAGATGGGCCACCAAATGAGATCCCATCTCAGAAAATAGATGATTGAGGACCTGGAGAGATGGCTCAGCAGTTAAGAGCACTGACTGCTCTTCCAGAGGTCCTGAGTTCAATTCCCAGCAACCACATGGCAGCTCACAACTGTTTATAACTTCAAGATCTGGAACCCTCACACAGACAGACATGCAGTGAAACACCAAAGCACATGAAATAGAAATAAATATAAAAATGATTTAAGAACTACCTGATAGGATTCCCTATGCCTATATTCAGATTCCAGGACACTGCGTTACAGGATGTAGGCATGGAAAGCAACTGACTGAACTTCCCCTTCTCCACATCGCTCTTGCGTCAGAGTCACACCCGCTCTTTCTCCACCTTCCCATTACTTCCCAGCAACCCTCAGTCTGTCCTTTCTGTCCTTTACATTGTGCATTTATTTTGTGCTGAATTTCTCCCAGGCTGTAAGTTTTTGTAGGTTGTGTTTCTTCTAGGGAATCTTTTTCTTTTGGGCAGCCCCCTCTTCTGGCTTAAACAGTTTGTTCCTTTTCAGGGAAGGGTCCTCTCCGTGCGGCAGGGCGAGCCCATGTATGGATTAGTATGATCATGAGTTCTGATTGGGGGTTCTTTGCTCACCTGGATGTGCCCAGTGGCTCGACACTCCACAGCTAAACCCTTAAGCTGAGTGTTACTCTGTTTTTAAGCATGCGAAACAAAAATTCAGCGGTGCTTTTAGCTGCCAACCCTGTCCAGCCCCACTGTTTGACCCGGCACTAGACGGCCAGAGTGGCACATGTTGCCCCTTTAAAGTGATGTCTTTCCCATGTCATGGTTTCCCCTTGACTTTCCAGTATGCAAACCCTGGGTGGCCTGGGCAGTTTCATGCGTGTTCTTAAAATGAGTACAAAGATTTAAACTGCTTGAATTACGTGATTGTGTAGGGGTTTCTGGGTCAAGAAGGTAGTGAACCATTTTCACAGGTCAGCCCAGGGTGCCTGCAGGAAGAGGATGTCTTTGTTTTCTTGGTCATTCGAGAATATTACATAAATGGAGTTGTATGCTATCTATCTTTTTTATTGTTTTTGTTCCTAATCGTAATTCTATGGAGATTGCTAGTACAAATATAAGTACTTGACTCCTTTTATTTCTGAGTAATGTTCTAAAATAACGGATTTACAGGTTTAACAGTTCACAGGGCTGGAGAAATGACTCAGCAGTTAGAGCCCTGGCTGCTCTTCCAGAGGACCTGGGTTTGGTTCCCAGCACCCACACAGTGGCCCACAATCACCTGTAACTCCAGTTCTCGGGGACCCAGCCACCTCTGCTGGCCTCCTTGGTCATCAGGTGTGCACCTGGCATGCAGATGTAGGGGCAGGCAGAACACTGCACACATTAAATAATTTTTTAATAAACAAAAAATCCCACCAAGTTTAACAATTTGCCTACTGAAGGGAGGCTTTCGGGGAGTGGGATGATGCTGGAGATTGGTTGCAAGGCCTTGTGCATGCCAGACAAGATCTTCACTACTGAGCCGTAACTCTTAAGGGTTTTTCTCATTATTTTGAGACATAGTCTCATAGCAGCCCAGGCTGGTCTTGAACTTGAGATTTTGTGTGAGTCTGTGCACATACATGCCATGGTACAAGTAAGTAAAGAGGGTACCTTGCCAGAGTGGTTTCCTTGTCTCCACCATGTGGGTCCAGAGGAAAGATAGGTAGTGGTATTCAGTGTGATTTTAATTTACAGGTGCTTAAATTTAATTTTAATGGTGTTGAATATATTTATATGTACTTATTTTCCACCTGAATCCCTCCATTAGTAAAATGGCTCCTCATGGTTGTGTCCTGGCTGTAATAAACTATTAGGGAACAGATGGTATTGGTGAAAGATCTGGCCAGCATTCCTGTGTCCATCATGTTGTCCTATGTTGTGTCATCCCCCACACATGCACATCTATCTCTGTCTTTGTCTGGTTCTGGGCCATACTAGCTTCATCAGGTGAACGGTCTTCTGTTCTCTGGGGAGACTGCATAGAGTTGGCTGATCAGTGCAGAGTTCCACATGGAGATTTCCGTATGTACAGTAGACTCCCGGTATTCATTTTGGTTTGAGTGACTTGTAGTGATGGATGTTCTTTTTCTCAGTTTTAGGAATTGGTCCATTAAATGACCAAATTTATATTCAGAGTAGTTCATAGTATTATTTTATTCTTTTGATAGCTGTGGGGGTTTTAAAAATAGCTGTTTCATTATTTTTTGGTAGGGGCGGTCTTTTGAAACAAGGTTGTACTGTGTAGCCCAGGCTCGAACTTGCGATCCTCTTGGGTCTACTTCTCAGGTGCTAGGATTACAGGTGTCTTCCACCCTGCCAGGTTCCATGCAGTGTCGAAAACTGACCTGGGACTTCATCCGTCCCCGTCAGGCATTCTACCAAGAGAGCTACCTCTCCAGCACATGGGTCCCATGGTTTTGTTGTTGTTTTGGGCTTTTTCATGATAAAGTTTCTCTGTGTAGCCCTGACTATTTGGGAACTCACTCTGTAGACCAGGTTGGCCTTAAACTCTGCCTCCTAAGTGTTGGGACTAAAGGCATTCACCACCACGCCTGGTTTAATCTAGACAGTTTCTCATTGAACCTCCTTTCCCAGGGAATTGTAGATTGTGTCAAGCTAACAATTAAAACCAGCATCACAATCTACAATCTGCTCTCCTTACTAACTGCTAAGATTAATGTGTACCTAACAATTGTCTCAATTTTCTTGAGTAAGATTGGTGGTGCATGCCTCTAATCCCAGCGCAAAGACAGGCAGATCTCTGTGAGTTCAAGGCCAGCTTGGTCTGCATAGCAAGTTCTAGGCTGCATAATGAGAACTTGTCTCAAAAAGATGTGTGCCACCACACCTGTCATGCCATTTGTTTTTAAAGGACAGATAAAATTCTATGTATATTTGAAGTACGTGTATGGTGTGGAACGATGAGATTTCGCTAACCAGCATAGACACAGCTGAGAACCTGGGGCAGGGAGGCTGGGGAGAGGCTCAGAAGTTAAGAGCACTGGCTGCTCTTGCAGAGGACCTGAGTTTGGTTCCCAGCATCTCCATGGAGATTCACAACTGTCTGTAACACCAATTCCAGGTGATTTGATGCCCTCTTCTGGCCTCCACGGGCACTGCACACAAATGATAAAAATAAAAATAAATCATTTTTAAACAAATGAACTTCTGGGGCTGGGGTAAAGTGCTTGCGATGCAATCATGAGGACCTAAATTTGACTCCTGGTGGTCGCACATGGCTATAACCACTGCTGCTAGAGCGCAGAGACAGGAGGATTTGGGGGTGCTTTACTGGCTTTCCAACCTAGCCAAATTGGTGAGACTCCCGTTCAGTGAGTTAACTTTGTCTCAGGAAATAAGCTGGAGTTATGCAGGCCTCTGTGAGTTCAAGGACAGTCTGTTCTAAATAGTGAGTTTCAGGACAGCCAGGGCTACATAGTGAGACCTTGCCGGGGGTGGAGGGAGGGGTGAGGAGAACACCTGATGTTAACCCTAGGCTTCCACATGCACACACGGCACCACAATCTACTCTCCTGATCTTTTGCTTTCTCATGTATGTATTTGTTGGGAAGAACATGTTTAAGAAATGGAGATCAGAGGATGCCTTGCAGGGATTGGTTCTCTCCTGCCGTGTGGATCGTGGGGATTGAATTAGGTCACCAGGTTTGGTGGCCTCGGCCTTTACTTGATGAGTCTTCTGATCTGTTTCTTTGTTGTTGTTGTTGTTTTTTGTTTGTTTTTTGTTTTTTTTTTGTTTTGGTTTTTCGAGACAGGGTTTCTCTGTGGCTTTGGAGGCTGTCCTGGAACTCGCTTGGTAGTCCAGGCTGGTCTCGAACTCACAGAGATCTGCCTGCCTCTGCCTCCCGAGTGCTGGGATTAAAGGCGTGCGCCACCAATGCCCGGCTGTTGTTGTTTTAATATAGGTTTTTATTTAATGTGTTTATTTTGAGACAGGGTCTCACTCCGTAGCTCTGTGGCCTGGAACTTGCTATGCAGACCAGTCTGACCTCAAACTCAGATCTAGCTGTTAGTGCCTCCAGGCACTAGTTCAAGGCCACTTTCCTCCTTGGGATGCCCAGCACACCCATCTTCTCTTGAGGTTTGGGGTATAGCTTAGTGGCGGAGTGCTAACCTGAACAAGTAGCCTAGGTTCCATCCCCAGCACTGCAAGAATAACAGAAAGAAAACCGGAGTTTCCGTCTCTATTCTCCACCTTCATGCTGTCATGTCTGACTGTCCACCCCTTGGAGAGGCGTTGTCACCCTTCTGGAGTCACACTCTGACTGTCCACCCCTTGGAGAGGTGTTGCCACCCTTCTGGAGTCACACTCTGACTGTCCACCCCTCGGAGTGGCATTGTCACCCTTCTGGAGTCACACTCTGACTGTCCACCCCTCGGAGAGGCGTTGTCACCCTTCTGGAGTCACACTCTGACTGTCCACCCCTTGGAGAGGTGTTGTCACTCTTCTGGAGTCACACTCTGACTGTCCACCCCTTGGAGAGGCGTTGTCACCCTTCTGGAGTCACACTCCGACTGTCCACCCCTTGGAGAGGTGTTGTCACCCTTCTGGAGTCACACTCCGACTGTCCACCCCTTGGAGTGGCATTGTCACCCTTCTGGAGTCACACTCTGACTGTCCACCCCTTGGAGAGGCGTTGTCACCCTTCTGGAGTCACACTCCGACTGTCCACCCCTTGGAGTGGCATTGTCACCCTTCTGGAGTCACACTCTGACTGTCCACCCCTTGGAGAGGCATTGTCACCCTTCTGGAGTCACACTCTGACTGTCCACCCCTTGGAGAGGCGTTGTCACCCTTCTGGAGTCACACTCTGACTGTCCACCCCTTGGAGTGGCATTGTCACCCTTCTGGAGTCACACTCTGACTGTCCACCCCTTGGAGAGGCATTGTCACCCTTGTGCCCTCATGCTGTAGACCCCTAATTTTTTCCATTCAAACTGAGACCCGGAATGGCTAAGTCCCTTGTGTATCCTAAATTTCTAGCCTCCTGCTTTTCTCTCACTTTTGTTTTCCTCTCTAAGGCTTTTTAGTTGTCCTCACAGGTGTTTAATCTACCCTGAGTTAGGAAAGAATATTACCCTCGTTCTTTGAAATTAGGCTGATCTCAGAATAAAGGCCCGTAATCTTGCCTTTTGTAATTTCGATCATTTCCATATGGCTAATAGAGGCTTGGTTAGATTCAGGTTTTTGTTTCTCTGTTTGTTATTTGCTTGTTTTGTTTTTTCAACATGTCTCACTTGTATACTCCAGGCTGGCCTTGAATTGATGGTCTTCCCGCCTCAGCCTGTTAAGTGCTGAAATTGTGAGTGTATGCCGGCCGGTCTGTCTGTCTGTCTGTCTGTCTCTCTCTCTCTCTCTGTCTCTCTCTCTCTGTCTCTGTCTCTGTCTCTCTCTCTCTGTCTCTGTGTGTGTGTGTGTGTGTGTGTGTGTGTGTGTGTGTGTGTGTGTGTGTGTGTGTGTGTGTGTGTCCAGTCCCAACATGGGATTCAGGGTCTTATTGTTCGGTTCCAGAAGGATATCCTAGGCTTCACAAACTTCCCAGCTGGTTGCCAGGGGTAGAAATTCTGGCTTCAAGACCGAGTGCATTTGTGTACACCTGTAATCTCAGCTTGCAGGAAGTGGGGACAGGAGACTCAGCAGTTCAAGGCTATCCTGGGCAACACGAGATCCAGTCTCCAAACAAACAAGAGTTCTGGCTTGGAGACGACAGTCTGGGGATGATTTCTGTGCTCTCTGGGGAAGGAGGATTGATGCCTATGCTCTTGTGATCTGAGAATCACGGTAGGTCCCTGGGGCCACATGGAACCATGTGCTTGTGTAGTCAGTGTCAGGTGTGGTGGACAAAGGCCTGTCAGAGACATGCCAGTACCCACGCTGACCTGAGAGTGGGCAAGCCGGGAGCATTTCTCTGGACTTGTCTTTGACTTGGTGATGGAGAGCACACCTTACCTGGTTGTTCTTGTAGGCGTTAAAGGCAAGGGATCACTGTTGCTGTTGTTGTCATTATTAGGGCAACGTGGACATTCTCAGACTGACCCTCCAGAATGAACTGACAGGAGATGAACTTGAGCACATAGCCCAGAAGGTATCACCTGTCTGTCGGCGAGGCCTCCTCTCAGCCAGTTCTTCCTTCTACTGACCCCTCACCCTAGCGTTGCCTGGAGCTGCTGTGTCTGTTGCTGCAAGCCTGAGCATCTCCTTTCAGACCCACCCAGCTAGCTCAGCCTAGTGCTTTGGGAAGTGGGAGAGCCCACTAAAACGAAAGCTAACTCAAGTTTTCTACTAACATTCCCCGCCCGGTGTCCCTGTTGCTGTATGGCTGCTCGTGCGGGCAGGGCAGGAGGTCCTGGTTGCTGCGTGGTTTCTGAGTCCATTCTCTCTGTCTCTCTGGCAGGCGGGCAGGAAGACTTACGCCATGGTGTCTGATCGCTCCTCTGGTCATTCTCTGGCTTCAGAACTGGTGGAGTCCCATGATGGACATGAAGAGATCATTAAGGTGAGCTTAGTTCACTTTCCCTTTTTCTTTCTGCCCCCCACCCTGCCCCACCCTGTAGGTACACCAAGGGAGCTGCTGATTGACAGCTTATACACCCACTGGAGGGATCAAGGAGACACTAGCTCCTCCTGGTCATCTCCGGCAGGGTCCTAACACCCAGAGTCCAGCCTGCAGTGAGCAACTCTGGCCGAGCCTGGCCCTAGGCATGGGCATGAACAGTTTTCCTTCTAGCCAGGCATTGGTGGCGCACGCCTTTAATCCCAGCACCCGGGAGGCAGAGGCAGGCAGATCACTGTGAGTTTGAGACCAGCCTGGTCTACAAGAGCTAGTTCCAGGACAGCCTCCAAAGCCACAGAGAAACCCTGTCTCGAAAAACAAAAACAAACAAACAAAATAATAATAATAACTCTAGAAGAAGCTTGGGAGTTGACTCAGTGGTTAAGAGTCCTTACTGCTCTTGTCCAGGACCTGAGTTGGGTTCCCAGCACCCGTGTCAAGTGGCTCAAAACTGCCTGTAACTCCAGCACCAGGGAATCTGATGCCCTCTTCTGACCTCCCCAGGAAATTGCACTCATGTGCAGTCTCCCAAAGCATTTCCTTCTATTCTAATTATTGATAAAAACTTGGGATAAAAACCCCAGAAGAGCCGGGTGTTGGTGGCACATGCCTTTAGTCCCAGCACTCTGGAGGCAGAGGCAGGTGAATCTCTGTGAGTTCAAGGCCAGCCTGATCTACAGAGCGAGTTCCAGGACAGCCTCCAAAACAATACAGAGAAACCCTGTCTAAAACAAAAAAACAAAACAAAACAAAACAAAACAAAAAAACCCTAGAAGAGAGGGAGGAGGGACCAGTACAGTAAACTCCTCTCTCTCTCCTTCCCTGATCCAAAAGGGCCCCTGAATCTTTCTTTTTCTTTTTTATTGTTTTTTTTTTAAGATTTTTTTTATTACGTATATAGTGTTCTGCCTGACACCAGAAGAGGGCACCAGATCTCATTACAGATGGTTGTGAGAAACCATGTGGTTGATGGGACTTGAACTCAGGACCTCTGGAAGAGCAACCAGTGCTCTTTTAACCTCTGAGCCATCTCTCCAGCCCCCCGTAAATCTAGCCATTCCCTCCTACTTTCTGTGTCTGTTTATCTGTCTATCCTGGGTTCTCCAAAACCTCTCTGGCTAATTTTGGTCAGCTGTTGCTAACTCTGTCCTCTGATTCAAAGTAAGCTTTATTGGCAGTCCTGGGGTATCAGTGTGAACAAATACCCTGCAACAATCTCCTATACAGACATCCATATACATAATTAAAAATTGGTTAAAAGCACAGGCTGCTCTTCCAAAGGACCTGAGTTTGATTCCCAGAACTACATGGTAGCTCACAGCTGTCTGTAATTCTAGCTTCAAGGGATCTAATGCCTTGCAGGGTACCAGACACATGTGGTATACAGACGTACATGCTAGCAAAACTCCAACACACGTTTAAATAAATAAATAATTTTTAAATTGAAAAACACTTTAAAAATTAAAGATAGCTTTAGAAAAAAATAGAGAGTTAGATAATTTGCATATGACACAGTGAACTCAGTTAAAATAGTCAAGCATTGGTTTTTACTGTAGCCATAGAGTTGTGGAACCATCACCACTTTAAATTCCAGGCCTTTTTTGTTGTTGTTGTTTTGTCTTTTGTTTTTCAAGACAGGGTTTCTCTGTATTGTTTTGGAGGCTGTCCTGGAATTCTATCTGTAGAGCAGGCTGGCCTCAAACTCACAGAAATCCACCTGCCTCTGCCTCCCGAGTACTGGGATTAAAGGCGTGTGCCACCAACACCCGGCTTTTTTTTTTTTAATTAAATACCAGGTCAGCTGGGTGGTAGTGGCACACACTTTTAACACTTGAGAGTTAATGGCAGGCAGATCTCCAAGTTTGAGGTCAGCCTGGTCTACAGAGTGAGTTCCAGGGCAGCCAGGATTGTTATACAGAGAAATCCTGTCTCAAAAAACAAACAAAAATTTTTTTGTTTAGGCTTTTTGGTTGATACTCAGGGTTCCATACATTTCTTTTCTTTCTTTTTTTAAAAAAGATTTATTTATTTTTATGTGCATTGGTGCTTTGCCTGCACTTATGTCTGTGCAAGGATGCCAGGTCTCTTAGAACTGATGTCACAGACAGTGTGAGCTGTCATGTAGGTACGGGAATTGAACCTGGGTCCTCTGGAAGAACAGCCAGTGGGTTAGGGTTAGGGTTAGGGTTGGGGTTGGGGTTGGGGTTGGGGTTGGGGTTGGGGTTAGGGTTTGGGTTAGGGTTTGGGTTCTTAACTGCTGAGCCATCTCTCCAGCTCTTCTTTGCATTTCTTTATGAATTTTAGGCTCGGCTTACCAGTTTCTGCAAAGAAGCCAACTAGAGTTTCAGTAGGAATGAGTTGAATCTGTTGGTCAGTTTGGGAGGGATTGCTTTCTGTGTGTTCCTGTAAAGAAAGAAAGATGAGATAAACCATGAAGTTAATTTTTTAAGGTTTTCTTTAATTCTTTATAGTAATTTTCAAAATAGAAATCTTGAATTTATTTTGCTATTTAAAAATGTCTATTTCAAATGTATTTGTTTTATTCTATGTGCATGAGTGTTTTGCTCACATTTATGTCTGCATACTGTGTGGGTACCTGATGCCCACAATAATCAGAAGAGGGCATCGGGATACCCTAGAACTAGTTACAGATGGTTTTGCATTGCCATGCTGAGAATCAAACCTGGGTCCTCTGCAAGAGCAAGTATGATCAGTTATCAATCTATCTCTCCAGACCCTTATTTTGCTATTTTTTTGAGATAAGTAAGGTCTTACATTATGGGGCAGGCTAGTTTGGAACTTGGTATGTAGCCCAGGTGGGTTTCAACTCTTTATCTTCCTGCCTCTGCCTCCTAAGTGCTGGGTTTAAAGTCATATGCCACCATACTCATCTTTGGAATATACATTTTTTCTTTTTTCTTTTGTTTTTCTGGTTTTTTTTTTTTTTTGGTTTTTTTGAGACAGGGTTTTTCTGACTTTCCTGGAATTCACTTTGTAGACTAGGCTGACCTCGAACTCACAGACATCTGCTTGCCTCTGCCTCCCCAGTGCTGGGATTAAAGCCAGAACACCTGGGTTAGGATCTATAGTTGTTGTTGTTGTTAATTTCCTTAAAACAATGGCGCTTCGCCGGGCGTTGGTGGCGCACGCCTTTAAGGCCAGCCTGGTCTACAAGAGCTAGTTCCAGGACAGCCTCCAAAGCCACAGAGAAACCCTGTCTCGAAAAACCAAAAAAAAAAAAAAAAACCAAAAAAAAACCAAAAAACAAAAAACAACAACAACAAAAAAAACAATGGCGCTTCATTTATTTTACCTCATTTATTATTTGGGAATCTCACATCATGCACCCTGATTGTGCTCACCTCCCAGTCTTCCCATATCCGCCTCCCTTCCCCCACGAGCCCCCAAAACAAAGCAAAAGTCCATTTTTGTTGACGATACATTCGGTGGGCATGGTTAAATTCCTAGTGTCCATCCCCCGAGGGAGGATGAGTCTTTCTCTGCCTGCATCTACGCCAGAAGCCATGAGCTGAAGAGAGCCGAGCAGCGCCAGAGCGGTTCCTGGAGTGGTGCCCGAGTCCACACCACCACATGCATGGCAGTGCTGTGGGCCAGCAAGGGTTGGGGCCAGTGCTCCCTCCCCACAGACTTGAATGTGGCTCCAGGTGGCAGCCCAGACCACAGGCATCAAATGAGCTTTAGTGGTAATGTGGCTCTTGACCGTATCAGGACCACTGACCCACTTACGGCCCTCGGCAGCTGCAGGGACCACAAGCCTCAACATGGTCTCTGGTGGTTGCACATGCCACTCTCATCAGCGTGGCGCGCTCGGGTGGGTTTCTGCTGCCTGGTGGCCACAGAGCCGCTATAAATATTTTTAAGATAGGATTTCACTTTGTAGTTCAGACTAGCCTGGAACTCCTGCCTCAGGCTCTCAAGTGCTAGGATTATAAGTGTGTGCCACCACACCCAGCTGCGAATGGAATTTTGTTTGTTATTTTATTTATGTATTTGTGTGTACGTGTGTGGGAGGGTACATGTGCCTGTGTACCTGTGCACATGTGCAAAGACCAGAAGAGGCCTTTTGGATGTCTTCTGCTACCGTCTGTCTCTCCCTAAACTGAAGGCCTGTCCCTTCTCAGCTAGACTAGAAGGCCCCAAGGCCTGCAGATCTTCCCATTTCAGCCTCACTGGAAGCTGGGTCACAGGCACTTGTGGGGTCACTTGTGGGGAAGGCAGCTTGTCACTTTGGTGCTGGCATCTGAACTCTCGTCCTCATAATTTCAGAGAAGTGCTCACTGATGAGCTGTCATCTCTCCAGCTCCTGTCAGTGAGGTTTCATCTTTGGATTGCTAATTGCCAAGATGTAGGAAGACAACCAATGTGTACACTGAAGTGGTGTCCTTCAGCCTCATTGCTCTGGATTTGTCATTCTGTGGGGTTTCTTAGGCCATCCTCTGTGCAAGGTTATGTCATCTGCAAATAGGCATTGTTTTACTTCTTCCTTTCCAAGGAGGATGCCTTTAACTCTTTATTTTCCCTTATTCGAAGTAATCGTATGCCTCTTTAAGAAGGCAGAGTTACCCCATAATCTAGCAGGGTGCAAACATTGTGTTCTATGCCTTCCCAGACATACATACATACGTGCTTTTTAAAAAAAGAAAATGGAACTGTGTTAGCACACTCTGTTCCATCATCTCCACCCACACTGAATGACACATTGTAACATCTTCTGTGTCTGTAAGTATCTAGCATTTTAATGGAGGCATAATATTCCACTAAACACATAACTGTAATTTATTGAATCACTTATGCATTGTTGAACATTTTGTCTATTTCTTTTTTGCAACCACATCTAATACTTGGCTGAACGTAGATGCCCTTGACTGTGCGTATCCTGACAGTCAGGGCTGTTTCATGAGCTGGAGCAGGCTGAAGTGTGCCGAGCAGAGCATTAAGTCCTCCTCCAGATCTCTTCCCATGGGAACTACATGACTGGTTCAGAGTTCAGCCTTCCACTTTTCCATCAAGTTACAAGGCGTGCTTGAGTGTTTGTGCTGGTGTGGTTGTGTACAGTTTAGCTGAACTTGTTGTCAGGATAAATTTCTAGAAGTAGATTAAATAGGTCCAAGAGTAACACATTTTGGGGCTGGGCTGGAGCTAGCAAGCATGAAGACCTGAGTTTGGTCCCCAGCAATTGTCACCTGGTAAGTTGATGATAACAGTAGTTCCTTCCTCCTGGGTATGGGGCTGTGAGTTCCTTGGCTAAACAGTGCCGTGCTTATTGCAGGTGTACTTGAAAGGGAGGTCAGGAGACAAGATGATCCACGAGAAGAACGTCAACCAGCTGAAGAGTGAGGTCCAGTACATCCAGGAGGTGTGGACCCTTTCCTTGGAGGGAACACCTAGATTCCCGGAACCTTATGTTTTGGGGTTCCCTTTTATGGGTTCTGGTATTTTTTTCTGTTCCTTTTATGTTACTGAAATGCCCATGGCCTCCTATGTGTCAAATAGTATTTATTTATCAATTTCTATCTGTTATCTGTTTTTTGAGACAGGCTCTCCCAATGGAACCCTGGCTGCCCTGGAACTCTGTGCAGACCAATTCCTGCCTCTGTTTCCCAAGTGCTGTCAAATAGCACTTTTGACCTTTGGGATCTAACCCATTAAATCAACAAATAATCAAGTATCCTACACCTGGCCAACTCTATGAGCTGTTTGGTCTGCGTGATTAGCTACCTTCCCCAGTGCTTCCCAGCCCCTGCCTGGCTTATGCTTCTCCTTAGCACTTACCCCTGGATTCTACACTACCCATCTTATTTGTCTTGTGTGTCACGTGTCTTTTCAACCAGCAAGCATGTCAGCGCTGCCCTGGGAGGGGATTCATTTATCTTGTTGCTTGTACAGGAGAGCACAATTCCTTTGTCTGCAGCCACTGTGTAGCATAATGTCACACTGAAAGCAGTGTGGGTTGGGAATGTGGCTCAAAGGTTTGCCTTCCCTGCCCTGAGTCTCAAGTGTCTTGGCTCTCTTTCCCAGGCCAGGAACTGCCTGCAGAAGCTCCGGGAGGACATAAGTAGCAAGCTTGACAGAAATCCAGGAGACCCTCTGCAGCAGCAGGAGATACAGGTACTTTGGAATGGTGCTGTCTCTCAGGCTATGGCCAGGAAGGGAGAGCGTAGAGGGGCTTCCTGAGAACTCACGGAAATAGGGTTCCCAGCACTCCTAGTCTTGGACAATCACCTATGTATCCAAACTTCTTCTAAGTTGATCTTGCTGAACTTGGGTAAGTGTAAGTAGAAATAGAAGTCTTTTTTTTTTTAAATAAAGATTTAAGCTGGGTGGTGATAGCACATTCCTTTACTCCCAGCACTCAGGGAGACAGTGACACATGGATCTCTGTGAGTTTGAGGCCAGCCTGGCCTACAGCATGAGTTCCAGAACAGGCTCCAAAACTATAGGAAAACCCTGTTTAACAACAACAGAAAACAAAACAAACAGACAAAAAAGGATTTATTGTTTGTATATTTATTTATTTTATCTTTTTGAGACAGGTCTTTCTATGTAGGCTTAGCTGTCCTAGAATTCACTATGTAGTGGCCTGGAACTCACAGAGATCCTCCTGCCTCTGTCTATCAAGTGCTGGGATTAAAGGTCTGCTCCCGACACCACAGCCAGCTAAGATTTTTTTATTTCTATTTTATGTGTATGAGTGTTTGCCTGTCTGTGTGTATATGTACCATGCATGTATGTGCCCAGTGTCCCAGGAAGCCAAGAGTGTCAAATCCCTGGGACTGAAGTTACAGGTGGGTGCTGGGACTCACAGCCAGGTCCTCTGCAAGAGCCGCCATCTTTTCTCCAGTCCATTATTTGTTATGCCGTTATCTCAGTCTTGGGCTGGGAAACTCCATCTGCCCCCCAACCCCCCGTGTCCTCAGCCTGGCTGAGATGTAGGGTGCAGAGAGAGGCGTCAGCAATGTAGGAGCAAACACTGTCTAAATCTTCTCTGGAGGGTAGTGTGGAATTCTGCTGTCCATGTTTTCAAAGTTCCGGGACAGGAATGTCCTCAGAAGCAGAGCAGGCTCCTGATTTCTTCTCTCTGGGGCTCCTGAGACCTGAGTTCTGTCTCCTTCGTTTGCCTCTGGTTTGGGCCAGGTGGTCTTTACCAGCAGGCCCCTTCCTGTTCCGAACGGAACAGGGGCCCAGCAGCTGGTACCAGAACTGCTCCTCCTCATCTTGACTGGGTTTCGTTTGCTGGATGTTTCCAAATTTACTTTTCTTTGGCTGAAAGTGTCACTATCGAGGCCTGATGTCACCTGGATGGTGGGAGGCACCTTGTGGAGTGGCACCAGAACCCTTTGTGCACAGTCAGAGTCAGGCCGAAAAGGCCAAGGCCCCTCGTTGGCACAAATCAGCAGTCACACGACGAATGGTCTGGCTCCGGGTTAGACAGGATTGTAGCAAAAGCTTTTCCCTCTCTTGATTACGCTTTGTCAAAACCTGTCAGGGTCCTCACTGGAAAGGAAGCGCAGTGTTTATGGCAAGCGGTGGCTTGCATCCCTGGGAGCGACGTGCCTCACACACTTTCCAGTCCGCTGCAGGCTTTAGCCTGAGGTGTATCATCACCCCACAGGCTACAATTCCCTCTCAAGGCCATCTTGCGTCCCTCTGCATTCTGTTTTCTCAGGATGCACTGGAAATCTATCTCCTGCCCTTGTTCCTACCTTCTCTTCCTGTTCTTTCCCTCTTCCCTTTCTGTAAAGGACAAAATAAAAATGTTTTTACATTTATGTTGCATGTGAGCACGCACACACGTGCAATGTGGGAATGCATGCGCTCATGCCATGTCACACATGTGGATGTCGGGACAACATGTTGGAGTGAGTTCTCTCCTCCACCAAGGGGGTTCTGGGGCTTGAACTCAGATTGTCAGGTTTGCTGGCAGGTGCCTCTGAGCCATCTCACTGGTCTATAGGCATTGACATCTTAGAAGTATAATGCAGCAGCATTGTTTGCCTGATTGGTTTTTAACTCCTGGTTTTCTTTTTCTTTACACAGGTGGTACTAGAAAAGCCAAACGGCTTTGATCAGGGTCCCTTGCCTCTCTACAGCAGCCTACCTGAGGTAGGTAACAGGGGAGACTGTGGGAGCAGAGCTTAACTGGCGGGCAGCATCTCATGCTCCCGGACAGTCCTATCTCACTTATTTGGTATAAAAATCTAACAACAGAGACAGGAAAAGCGGAAATTCACTGCTTAGAAGTAGCCACTGTCAGAGACTGAAGTGGGTGGGTCCCAGAGGACATCTCTGCTTGGCTTCCCCTTGGATGAGCCTCACAAGGTTTAAAGGAGATGATACCTGGGTCCCGTCCCTGGAGATGTAGAGTCAATGCTCTTACATGTTCATGCATGCTTTTCCAGTGTGTGTATGTGTACCATACGGGTACCTGGTCCCCACAGAGCATAGAAGAGGCTGTTGGATGTCCTGGACTTAGTGTTACAGTTTTGAGCCATCGTGTGGGTGTTGGAAACTGAGCTTGGATCCCCTGGAAGAGAAGGAAGATCTATTTTGTTTTTGTTCTTTTGGTTGCTTTGTTTTGTTTTTAGAGACAGGTTTTCTCTGTAGCTTTGGAGCCTGTCCTGAAACTCGCTCTGTAGACCAGACTAGCCTTAAACTCACAGATATCTGGCTGTGTCTGCATCCTGAGTGCTGGGATTAAAGGTATGCACCACCACTGCCTGGTTTTAAGTCTTTTCATGTTAGTCCATAGAGCTTCTTTCTCCTCTGTTACTGTGATTTTAAAAAATGATACTTGTTACCCCGTGTGATTAAATAATAAGTCTTAGGGTTTCTATTGCTGTGAAGAGACATCATGACTAGAAAAACTCTTAAGGGTTTCTCTGTATTATTTTGGAGCCTGTCCTGGGACTCATTGTGTAGACCAGACTGGCCTTGAACTCACAGAGATCCACCTGCCTCTGCCTCCCGAGTGCTGGGATTAAAGGCGTGCACCACCACCCAGAGCAGAGAAACTCTTATAAAGAAAGCAGTTAATTGATATGGCTCACTTACAGTTTCCGAGGTGCAGTCCATTATCATCATCATGGCCTGCAGGCAGACATGATACTGGCTACATCTTGATCAGAAGGCAACAGGAAGTGGACTGAGGCAGTGGGTGTGGCTTGGGCATATATGAGACCTCAAAGCCCACCTCCACAGTGACACACTTCCTCCAACAAGACCACACCTATTCCGACAAAGCCACACCTCCTAATAGTGCCACTTTCTATGAGCTTTTGGGGGTTAGCTACATTCAAACTACCTCAATAAAATCTACTAACTATAGAAAATCTTGGAAATTCAGGAAGAGAAAAACGAAAAAAAGAGGAGCAGTTTTGATCTCTGGGTCAGTGACAGCAGTTAGCCTGTAAGCATCCTGAGGGCTTCTCCTCTTCTTAGGGATTATCACTGAGGAGGAAAAGCCAGCTTCTTGACTGTACTGCAGATAATCCCAGGACAGGTCGGAGTGAAGCGAAGTTCAAAGTTTATTAGTAAAGATAAGAGATAGTGAATGTTTCAGATTTCAGTGCAGGGCATCAGAGAGTGAACTAGAGGCTTAGGAAAAGAACAGCACAGGCTTCGCTAAAGGGGCCGTCAATTTAGGTGTCTTTTCAGCGGCGGTTTGTGATCTTATGGCTTTCCAGATTACATTGCTGAAAGCACATAATTTACAACACTGTTTGAAGACTAAGCAAAACAAGTTTTAAGTTTAAAAATTAAGTAAAAATATACGAGCTGGTTTATTTCTTGTCTTAAAAATTTCTTTTTATAAATGTCAGGTCGTTTTAAAGCCCAGCTTTTTACGGTTTTTTATTTCTTGTGTGTGTGCACTCTTGGGTGTGTGTGCATGTGTGCATGAGCGTGTGAATGCCCACAAGTGTGTGAGGTCAGAAGACAGCTTGAGGAGACATTTCTCTCCTTCCACCATGTGGGTCCAGGCTTCAAGCTCCGGTCATGAGACTTGGCGGCAACTGAGCCGTCTGGTCGCCCTGTAAGGTGATTTATGAGGGTTATGAGCTGTATTGCCTGGGTGTTTGGGATGACAGGAATGATAATATGGTCATGTTTACAACATTTTGGCCCAAAGTAAGCTTAGTTCTGTTGTCGTTTTTAGTGTCCTTGTTTAACTTACTCGTATGAAATCGAGCAGTGTGTCTAAGCGTCCTTGGCGTTATCAGTGCTGCTCACGGTACAGATTCCAGAACATGGGGTTTCTTTCTCTTCCCATGACCCCGCAGTTTTCCTGCCTCTCTATCCAGTCTCATCTCCAGAGAGAGAAAAGTTAGACTTTGGCGAAGTTTTCTGTCTTTTCATCCGTGCAGACACTTAGTTACAATTTTGAGATTGCACCACATACCACGTTTCTTTGTTTGCCTCCTGTTTCTTTGGTGAGTGGCTTTTGTTTGTTTGTTTTGTTTTTGAGGGCTTCTGTCGGTTTGGGGATGAGGATTGAACCTGGGTCTCTTCAACAATTATGGCCTCTACCACTAAACTGCACACCCAGCCCCAAGGACAATTTTTCGGGGTTGGGTTTTTTGGCCCTCATGTGTAGAGTTGAATCACATCTACCCATTAGTCACACAGAATGTCATGGGTCCATCAAGGCCTGTTGCTGATCGTACTGTTTCTCTCTTCTTCTCCCACTAACTAGAAGATACTTAATATATAACTTTAAATAAAATCACTGTGAAGTGATTTCAGTTTATATGATGGGCTTGTATCTTTTAAATCAGGGTCTGTGTGTATTACTGTATGAAATCTGGTGTGTTGAACCACATGTGATGGCACATGCCGGTAATCTCAGGACTTAGGAGACTGAAGCAGAAGGATCAGTGTCTGCTTGAAGCCTAGTCTGTCATGTGTCCTTCTCACATACAGTTTTATAACTGCTTTTTATAGTGTGTTACATGATAAAAATCAATCTCTCTCTTTCCCTCTCTAGTGCTGGGAATTAAGCCCAGGGAATTAAACCCCTTACACATGTTAAACAAGCAGCCTGCTACTGAGCTGAACACATTTTAATTAATGAAAATAATCTCCATGTCATTGAAAGGGCCTTATGAGAAGATAGTTGGAATAAATGTGCCAGGGCTATATCCCAGGAGTCTGTGGTAGGCAGTGTTTTCATTTGGCCTAGGTCCTTGAGTAAGGCTTGTGAGGAATTGACAGTGACTTAATTAACGTCCAGGTTCCTTTTCCATGGAGCACCATATCTGGCAAAGAAGTTATTGGTAATAAATTCTAGTAACACCTGGCAATGTCTGCCTATATTCCTATAAGTTCCAACCCCCACAAGATATTGCCTTCCCAACTTTGGAGACAGCCTGTGAGGCAGGGCGTGGTGAGGAGTCTTCCCCATTTCACACACATAGAAGTGGAGGACCACAAGAGCCAGGAAGAATCCAGAGGCTCAGAATGTCTCCCTGTGCCCAGTTGAGAGCTCTGTGCTGTGGTCAAGGTCTTGCTGCTTCCTCCTGTGCAAGCCCAGGAGAGTCTGTGCCAACTCCAGGAGTTATTATGCAGTGTTTCATGCCTTTGCAGCAGAAATGAGAGCGAGACCCTGCACGTCTGCTCAGCCTTACCACCAGCCCACGGCTGGGTGTGTCTGGGAGGGACGGCTAGCATTCACGTCAGTGAGACACCCTTTCCTTCATCACATCAGATCTGTGTGCATTGTGCTTTGCTCTAAACCTGTCTATCCAGCAGCAGCCTTTTCCATGGGGATCTTTGTGTGAGTCGTGAAAACAGCAAAAGATGTGCCTTTGACCTTCCATGTGATGGGAGCCAAATAGCCACTGTCCTTGGGGAGCCTCGCCCAAAAGGGAAAAGGTCATTGCTCTCAGAGAACTCTACTCTGAGCCTGGAGCTGGTAGTTCCTACCTTTAACCCTAGCCAAGGAAGGCTGAGGCAGGATTGCCACAGATTTGAGGTCAGACTGGGACTATATACAGTGAGTTCCAGAGCAATCTAGGCTACACACACACACACACACACACACACACACACACACACACGCACGCACGCACGCACGCACGCACGCACGCACACACTGTGAAGTCATTTCACTGAGCCATTGAGATGATCAGGTAACTCTGCCTATAGCAAAGTCTGGGTTTGTCCCTCCTACCGGATGGAAGGAGGGAACCACCTCCAACAAATGGTCTTCTGACTGCCATACAAGTCCAGCGGCACACATACCCCAACACACAAGATAAATGTACAAAGTTGAAGCATTTTAAAAGAAATCATTCCCTTGATGTGTTTAAAAATTACTGTGTCCTAAATGGTTGAGTGACTTGAAACTAGTCAAGTCCCTTAGATATCAAGGGAGAATGTTTTTGTGTACCCTGTGTGATGCTAATTCTTTTGTGAGTGTGGTCCCCACAGGCGGGGCAAATCCCAGCGTTGGGCAGGGAGTCACAGATGTGGCAGCAGCTTCCCTTTCCTTTCTTTGCTCCTGTTCTAGGCTGACACCTGCATGACTGAGGATGTTGAGAGCTTGAAGAAGACTGTGCAGGGATTGCTTGCCAAGCTGCAGGAGGCTGAGCGGCGGCACCAGTCAGACCGGGTGGCTTTTGAGGTGAGATCCGGGATCTGGAGAGAAGGTATCCTAAGGACTGGCTCCCGCGTGCAGTGCCAGCGACTTTCTCAGCACGGCCTTCGTTTTTCTGGGTGGGCGGCAGCCAACAAGAAATGCAGTGCTTTGAAGCCTTGCACCCCCACCCCACCCCCGTCCTCCTCTGCCTCTGCTTTCCCTGGAGGTTAAAGTGCTTGCTGTTTAAATCTGACCATAGTTCAGAGGTCAGGCCTTGTCTTTGTCTCCCTGTAGTGCTGAGGACGATGCCTTCCTTGCACACGTTAGGCAGTGCTCTGCCTCTGGGCCACGTGGCTAGCCCTTGAAGGTTGGACCTTGCTACTCTGCTTTACTGGAGTCTGGGACTGCAGATGACTCATAAGTCATCGCTGTGTGTACCATAATGAGAATCGCGGGACTGTTACCGTCATATTCACAGAACCCCAGTGCCTGGAATAATACATGGCATAAGTCATAAATGTCAGAAATAGTTTGTCACCTTTATTATTGTTATAGCTGATTTTTTCTTAGATTTTATTTATTTTATATGTATGGCTGTTTTGCCTCTGTGTATGTGTGTCACATGAATGCTTGGTGCTGGAGGAGGTCAGAAGTGGGCATCAGATCCCCTGGAACTGGAGTTGTACAAGGTTTTAGGCTGCCAGGTGGATGATGGGAGTCAAGCCTAGGCCCTCTGGAAGAGCAGCAAGCCCACTAATCCACTGAGCTATCTCCAGCCCCGGCTGGTTTCTCAGGTAGCCCAGGCTGGCTTTGAAAAATTCCTGATTCTCTACCTTCCCAAATGCTGGATTGTTTGACTTTTTGTTTTGTTTGTTTGTTTGTGGTTCTGGAGAGGAATGCAACCTAGGCAGGCACACTGCCAGTGAGGTACATTTCTGGCTCTGTAGCTGATTTTGCAAAAAATCATGTTTATTCATTCATTCGTCAGTCAGTCAGTCATTTGTGCGGTGGTTCCAAGGACACTTGACTGCCATGATGCCCATACGGAGGTCTGAGAACAGCCCACAGGACTGAAGTACATTTACCCTGCTGAGCCCATCTCACCAGCCCAGTCCCCACCCCCAGTAATCTAGATTGTTTTAGAAGAATTAAAAAAAAAAGTCTATAAACAGGAAAAGCCCCTTCCTACTAAAAGCGTGCAAGGTCTTCAGTTCGCTGTGGAAAATTCTTTGGGTGTATAATGAAGTGCACTGGGCAGTTTTCTTTCTGTTCTGGGGCAGTTACCTTCTGTTACCTGGTATTGTTCACTCACGAGTAAAACGCATTATGAGAGGATTATATTCATCACAGACACACTGAGAGCTCTTGGAAGGAGAAAGGCCAGCCTGAACTCTTTCATGGAGCTAGAAAAGGTTTTTTTTTTGTTTTGTTTTGTTTGTTTTTCTTCATTGTGGGTGGATGGCAGCGCCTGTGTGGAGGTTGGGTCTCCCTTTGCTGGACTTGGTTCTTCCCTCCTCACTTATGGCTCCCTGGCATCAAACTCAGGTCTCCGAGCTTGATGGTAAGCACTTTACCTGCTGAGCTATCTGCTGATCTTAAACAAGGAGATTTTTGAGAGGAGGATTGAGGATAAGGAAGAATAGCACTGAGCCGTGGGGTTAAGGAACCTGAGCCCTGACACAGCTTCCCTTGGAGCTGATTCAGTATGTATTGAAAGGATTCATGACTGACCCGCTATGTGAGGTTGTGTGTGAGCACTTGCTTCAGGTGGGTCTAGAAGAGGGAGACAGAATTTGTTTTTCTAGGTGCTGGGTTTCTATGCAGACTTTCCTGTTATACATAGTTAGACTTGGGACAGTCTTAAGACCAGTTTGTGAGTAAAAGCAGCCATTTGGCTAAGGAGTTCCCAGACCATTTCCTGTGACGCAGTTTAGGTAATCTGGCTATTTGTGTATCAGTTTGATGACCACCTATTTCCTCTATTCTCTGGAAGAAATACAAGGAAAGGAGGTTGGAGCTGTAGCCCTGAGCAGGGTTAGGTAGGCTCTTGGAAGGCCTTGAGAAGTTGTGGCGTTCCAGAGATGCTTGCCATTTCTGACTGTGTGGTGGAGCCTGCTGCTCCTAAGGAAGAGCTGCCTGAACATAAGCTGCAGGCACAAGGCCCCATAGCAGTTTGGGGTAGTGGGGTTGACTGTCTTTACCATCTGCAGCAGGTGCCCCTCGGGGCAGGTTCCTTCCTGTGTGAACAGGGCAGGCTGAGCTGCTGAGACAGATTCGGAAAACAAGTCTGGTTTTTTGTTTGTTTGTTTGTTTGTTTTTCCATTGGGCCTGTTGGTCGTTGTAGGTTTGTTTTTGCATCTTTGTGACTCTATGACAGACACTGGAGATTCAGATCATGGCTCTGTTAACTCTGCTCTGGCAGCCTGAGCGTGGTGTTTATGTAGTGAGATGAGAGCCCTTTTTCTAAGGTCCTGCTCAAGAAGCTGCCCTGTTTACATTATAATAGGCTAATACACATTATTGTGGGTGTTTCTTAGCCTCTCCTGATGAGATTTCTCCAGTCTGCTTTTCTGAACCTGGAGGTATGAAGGGCAAGATTGACAATTATCAAAGTATCAGCTGCTGTTAGGCATGGGTTCCTGTTGCACCAGCTGCCTGCTGTCAGGAGGAATTTGCAGTGAATTTGCTTGGCTAGGATAGGTCCCATCACACATTTTTCTGCACTGGGTTTTTTTCTTCTCTGATTCTGAGATTAGAAAAATCCAGACAAACTGACTGTTTTCTGCTTGTCATCCAGGCCTTCCAGAGCTTATGGATTCTCTTTTGCCAAATGATGAGGTGTCTGGGGTGAGTGGGAAGCAGAGAAATGGATGGTGACGTTCGCAGTGGTAGCATGGGCCCTGGCATTCTCTAACTTTACTTGTGACAGGGAGAGTATTGGACTAGATGAATACCAGTTCCGCCCCAAACTGTCAAGCAGTTGCTGCAAGCGAGGAACCTGTGGCTCTTTGAAAGTGTGGAAGGGCCCCAGGCCTGTGTGGCATGAACTTGAACTAGGCTCAGGGGCACACAGAACCTGAGAAGAACCTGCTCAGGGCTAGGGATGTTTAGAAGGGACATCTGTGAGACTTGGGTAAGCAGGAGTTGGTGAGCTGTAGGAAGCGGAAACAAGGCAAGTTCTTTCTTTCCTTTCTCACTCTACCGATTGAAAATTCTGCTGCTCTTTCCAAAGTGCTTTCTCATCTGCTGAAGGGTAGAGTCTGTGTGCTGCGGCGCCTGCGCCACGTGCTGTGACGGCCTTGGTGTGGAGGTGGAGGAGGGGGGAGATGGCAGGCTAGGAGACTGTCTCCTTCGCTATTTGCTTCTGATGAGCAGGGAAGCCACAACATCGGGTTAAGCGTGGCCAGCCCTGGAGGGTTATGGAGGTGTTGAAGATGTTGACCAGGGGATCTTGATGTTAACCTTGGAGATGGAGTTAATCTGGGAGGAGCCAGTTGGTCTCACAGTAGTCCCGGATAGAGATGGGGAGACGATGTGTCCCTTAGAGTGGCTTCCTTTGTCCCATTGTGCCTCTGAAGCCACCCAGGTTCTCTTCCTAAGGCTTATCTGCGTTTGCCTTTGTTTCTTCCACCGTTGAACACACGTCACAGGTTACACTCAAACAGTATCAGCGAGAAGCGGAACAGAGTAATGTGGCCCTTCAGAGAGAGGAGGACAGAGTGGAACAGAAATCGGCAGAAGTCGGGGAGCTACAGAGGCGCTTGCTGGGGATGGAGACGGTAATGGTGATGTTCTGGCTTCAGTGTCCAGCCCTGGGACCCGAGACTGCTTCCCCTAGTAGCTCAATGGCACCCCTTCCTAGCAGCCACGCACATCCCTTCTGATACCTTTCAGCTAGCCTCTGTCTCCTTCCAATGTCCGCTACAGGCGAAACTATTCCCACCTTAGACCTGTTCTCACACAGATGCCCCCTTTGGGCTCCGAATACTCTTCTTAGGAGCCAGTCACTACCTGGCTCATCCAGGCCTGGCCGCCAGGGCTGGCAGGTGGGTTTGCACAACACAGGGCCTAGTTCTCCCTCCGGCAGCTGGGTGAGGCTGGGAAGTTTCTGTGTGCTGAAAGTGGAAAAGGCTATCCCTGACAGGGATAGCCCATCAAACCCGCTTGGCCTGCTGCTCTTTGGCAACAGTCCCAGGCCCAGTAGCAGCCAAGTCCCTGTTCAGGTACCCATTTCACCCCAAGCACAGACTCTGTTGTCGTCCGTTCCTGCTACAGTGCCTTTCCTTTCGTCCCACGCAGGAGCATCAAGCCTTACTGTCGAAAGTCAGGGAAGGGGAGATGGCCTTAGAGGAGCTTCGGATCAAGAACGCTGACTGCCAAGCAGAAAGGGAAAAGTAAGCGCCTTGTTCACTGTGAAGTCGGGTGTAGGAAAGAGAGGGCGGGCGGTGGAGCCTGTGCCAGGGTTGGAAGGAAGCTGGCGCTGAGGTCAGACCTTCCCGTTCCAGCCCGGCGTACTCACATAGGGTGGAGCCCCACCCAGGCAGATGCTGTCCGGAAGGCTGCCTTCTTCTTGAGCTCACTTAGCGTGGGGGCAGTGGCCTAAAGAAGATGATTTTATGTTTTAGAGTTAAGGTCAGGCAGAGCTGAGGAAGTAGGGGCTGCTGCAACTCTCCCTGCAAGAGGTTTCGCTGGGCGTGTTGCTCCTTGCTTCTCACTCCTAAAGCAGAAACGCTGGAAGTTCCTGAAGGTCGTGTAATTTCTCCAGTCTGACAGGAGCACTAGCTTCCTGAGTACTTCCTGTTGCTCTAAGCAGTTCAGATAGAAACCAAGAACTACCTGCTGGCTTGGAGGCTTGTAGGGGGTTACTGAGAGTTTCCTGGCTCTGAGGTAAGAGGGTTTGACAAATTTCCTCCGAGGAGAGGGGAATCACAAGCCCCAGGTCAGCAGGACCCACAGAGCAAAGACTGCCTCTTCAGTCTTCAGGACCCGAATAAGATGTTGGCAGGGAGTAGTGGCACATGCCTATGGTCCTAGCACTTGAAAGGCTGAGGCAGGAGGAGTGCTGTGAGTTCAAGGCTAGCTTGTACTACAGAGTGAAATTCTCACTAAATAGGTTCCTTCTGGGTGCAGTAGTGGTAGTCTGTACCTGTTATCCTAGGTACTGAGGAGGCAGAGGCAGAAGGGCCATGTGATCCAGGCCAGCCTGGGCAACTTATCAAGATTTGGCTGGAAAATAAATGAACAACAAACAGTTAAATCTCAGTAGGCCATCGTGGGTTTGATTGCCATTTATAAGTGACCTTTTTCAAACTTGGTAGACATTACCTGAAGGGCCAAGATCAGTAGACACGGTCATAGTCCCTGTCTCTTTAGGACAACCCAGGTTTGACCTTCCTGACACGGAAAATGCAGGCATCTTTTTTATTGTAGCCCCCCTTTCTGGGTTGACTTCGTAGCAAAGTAGCTTTAGAAGAACAGTTGGGAGTGGTGGCTCATGCCTTCGGTTCCAGCGCCCAGGAGGTAGATACAGGTGGATCTCTATGGATTTGAGGCCAGCCTGCTCTACATAGCAAGATCTAGGCCACCCAGGACTATATAATGGAGTGACACCCTGTCTCAAACAAAAAAAAAAATGGGAAATTGGAAATTGTCTCTTTACTGAATATCTACAGTCTTTTTTTTTTTGCTATAAATATTCTACATCAGTTTTTTTCTGCTATCAGAATTCAGTTCTGCTGGAAGTTGAACTCAGGACCTCTGGAAAAGAAGCCATTGCTCTTAACCTCTGAGCCATTTCTCCAAACCCTTTATTATATCTTCTATTCTCAGATTAATTACATCTTGAACCATTCCCTCACCCCTGTCTCTCCTCCTTCCCCACCTCCCCTCTGCCCCAGATCCAAACCCTTGTCTATCTCCCCTTAGAAAAGAGCAGGCCTCCTAGGGACATCAACCACTAAACAGTCATTGGGGTGGCATATGTGTTAGGTAGCTTAAATAATCTAGAGGTTAAATATAAGGGAGGATGCACATATATAGGACATACACAAATACTAATGAGGACGGGTTTCTATAATCATTCCCCCTTGGGTGTTGGGGGATGGCTGTGTTCAGACCTCCTCTTCCTCTTTGTGGGACATACTCAGGGCAGACTAAGAGAAAAGAACAAGAGAAATGAAGGGTGAGATGATCCCAAATTAATGCTCTGGAGTGTTTGAGAGCTGTGTGCCCTTGTGTGGAGGACTGGGGTGGGATTTAGAATGTTTGGAGTCCAGGAAGGATATGGGTGCAGGTGCGTTGTAACCACCTCACCCTGAGAACCACCCATTCCTAGCGGCATGCGTTTGTCTTCAGGCAGAACTGGGAGTCACCAGTGTCTGGCTCTTCAGGGCCCTCTGGGCATTCTCAAAAGTGACTGACTAAGAAAATGCTCAGAGCATTGTGACATCAAGCAACTTTCTGCTTCTCTCTTGACACTGATTGTGCATCCCACACTCTAATTCAAGTCTGAGACTATCCAGAGTTAACGCAGGCCCCGCATGTCAAGGGTTCAGTTCTGCCCCCACTTTAGCTGACAATCAATATTAGTATGCTCAAGGCTACCCATGTACCTTTCCCACTTACCTACAAAGCACACGCATGGGGTGGCGTTCTTCCCAATTGCTTTCTCAGGTTCAGGATTTGTTGTACTGCTCATGGAACTGATGAAACAATGTTGTTATGTTCCTAAAGGATTCAGAACAACAGAGGAAGTGGTATAAAGCGTGAGGTCAGAGGGGACAGAGCGCTGCTGTCCCCAGAGGGTTGGGGTATCTGTCCTCCTGACATGCGTATACGGTCCTAGATCCAAAAGGTCTTTGAACACTTTGGTCAGTGGTTGCTTCTCTCCCAGAGGTTGGAGAGGGTATGAAGTTTAACTAGCCTCATGCTGCAATCAATCATCTTACAAACCCTCGTCAACATTCCCTTTCTTAGTGTGCTTACAACACTCAGCATTTCTGGAGGGTCTAGACCCCTTGTTAGGGAGGGGCTGGAAACACAAGACCAAATACTGTATAGTAAAACATGTCTCCATCACTCCTGTGCTCGGGAATTTATAAGGGTTTGAGGAATTCTCTTAAGAATTAAGGAAGGATAGCCAGGTGGAGGTGACTTTAACCCCAACACTCAGGAGACAGAGGCAGGTGGATCTCCTTGAGTTTGAGGCCAGCCTGATCTACAGAGTGAGCTCCAGAACAGCCAGGGCTACATGGAGAAACCCTGCCTTGAAAAGAAAAGTTAAGGAGAGGGTAGCTGGAGAGATGGCTCAGGGGTAAAGAGTGCTGGCTGTTCTCCTGGAGGACCTGGGTTCACTTCCCAGCACCCACATGACAGCTCACACCTGCCTGTAACTCCTGTTCCAGGGGTCCCAACAAACATACAGCAGGCACAACACTACTGCACATAGAATAAAAAATTAAATCATTAAAATATTAAAAAAGAGAGCAAATCTTTCTTATTGAGGATCTTGACTTTGTTTGCTTAGAATAATTCAAGTCCCTACTTAAATCTTTGGAGTAATCAGAAACTTACAACAATCAAGGCAACCAGCTTTCTCCTGGCTTTAATACTGAAAAGATTTGATGGTAATGTTTTATTATTTTTTTTATTATTATTTTACTTATTTACTTTTTGGTTTTTTGAGACAGGGTTTCTCTGTATTGTTTTGGAGGCTGTCCTGGAACTCGCTCTGTAGACCAGGCTGGCCTCGAACTCATAGAGATCCGCCTGCCTCTGCCTCCGGAGTGCTGGGATTAAAGGCGTGCACCACCAACGCCCGGCTTGATGATAATGTTAATAAAAAAAAAAAACAAAACCTGCCCCTGGCATGACATGATGGTGCATGCCTGTAATTCTAGCAAATTGGGAGGCTGAGGCAGGACAACACCTGTGAGTTCAGAGCTAGCCTGGTAGGTTTCAGGCTACTCTGAGGTGTGATTGTGGTCCACTGTGTAAATCAAAAAAGCGGAAACAAAGCACTCTGCCCCCTAGTGGCGAGCAAGTGACTTGTGCTGCCTCTCGTCATTTGGAGTGGTGGTGGCTTGTTCTTTAGGGCAGGCCACTGGGGCACACCAAACTGGATGGCAAGTGTGACTTCACCTCAGCCTCCTGCTCTTTGTCCCCAGGGCTGCTGCTCTGGAAAAGGAAGTGGCTGGGTTTCGGGAGAAGATCCACCACTTGGATGACATGCTCAAGAGCCAGCAGCGGAAAGTTCGGCAGATGATCGAGCAGGTAAAGGGGGTCCCTGTGTGCATCCCACGCCCATGCTTTCCTTACTCACTCCCTGGGCAGCTGAGTTTAAAACTGCTGCGGGAACACTCATGGAGTTCAGGCATTGCGCTCCCTCTGTCCTTCCCTGACACTGTTTTCGCATTTAGTTTCCCATTGGAAAAGGAAAGAAGCTGGTCTCACTTACACTCTAAATCTTTTTGGTAAATGAGTCATAATAAACCCAGTTGTCTCTGAAGACCGTCAGTGTGTGCTCTGCCTGAGTTCCACCCTGCTGCAAGACCGTTTTGAGGCCCTCAGGTTCTCCCTGAGCCGGGAAGGATCATTTCCTCCCTCTCAGCCAGCCCCTTTACATGTGCTTGTTTCCTGCCGTTTCTCATTGTCCAGAACAGTATCTATGATGTGGTAAGCACTCTGTAAATGTTTCCTAGACGGATGAATAAATAATTCACACTTGCAGAACCCGAAGGACTAGGTTCTGCATCGTCTGCTGTGCACTTTGGAATTACGGATGGCACTTCCTCTCACTCTGCCAACCCTGAGTCTGGCTTCATTAGTGATGAAAATAAAGGTTTTATAGAAACATCAATGAAATGTGAGAGGAGCAGAGCTCTCCCTTGGACTCTGTTGGCTTCCCTCAAGTCAGGGTGGAGTTTGGTGAACATGTACTGAGTCTTTGCAGAATGAACTCCATGGTTTTTTGTTTGTTTTGGTTTGGTTTTTTTTTTTTTTTTTTTTTTGGTTTGGTTTTTTTGAGACAAGGTTTCTCTGTATTGTTTTGGAGCCTGTCCTGGAACTCGCTCTGTAGATCACAGAGATCCGTCTGCCTCTGCCTCCCAAGTGCTGGGATTAAAGACGTGCACCACCAACGCCAGGCTGAATGAACTCCATGTTTCTTTCGTCTCCACAGCTCCAGAATTCAAAAGCTGTGATACAGTCCAAGGACAACACCATTCAAGAGCTCAAGGAGAAAATTGCCTATTTGGAGGCTGAGGTTTGTGTATGCGACGACCCCCAACAGGGAACTGGGCTCTTGAGAAGCCTGGGGGGGGGGGGAGGCTGATCCAGTCTATCAGGTGCTTGGAACCCAGTAGCTGGGAGTGTTGCTCCATGGTCAGTTGAATCGAGAGCTTCCAGGGAGCAGCTGGCAATGGTAAGGCCTGTCCCTGCCTGAGAGGGCAGAGCCTCATGGTGCAGGCCACCCCCAAGGCACATCTTGACCATGTGAGCTTTGCTGACAGCGGAGCCTGCTTTGAAGGAAGAGGGCACATTCTATAGTTGGCGTCTCCTCCGGGGATGGGCTCAGTCAGCTATCAAGGTGACTTCTTAGTCTAATTTCTGCATTGCTGTAGAACCCTCCCTGTTTGTTGACCGCCTTCAGGTCACTTTGCAATCTCCTGTGTGAAGATCCCTGTAATAGGGAAGGCAGGGTATTTAGAGAAAGTATGGTCTAGAGTTAAGATACAATATGCTGGGGAGAAACAAAACGAAACCAAATTTGTATAGGCCAGAGAGATGGCTCAGAGGTTAAGAGCTTGCTGCTCTTCCAGAGGGCTTGAGTTCAGTTCCCAACACCCACATCTGGCAGCTCCCAGTCACCCGTACGTCCAGCTCCCGGGCACGTGACATGTTCTTCTAGACCCCGAAGGTACCTTCCTGTATGCGTGTGGCATACACTCATACACATAAATAAAAAGTAGACGTAAAAACAACAAAAAACTACAGATATTTTAAAAACTAGACTGTTGACGAAGGCATATGACTGTCAACTGAAGGCAAGAAGCTCTGCACAGGAAATGTGTGTCCAGGAGGAGTCAGAAGTGGTTAGCGTTAGCGAGGAGCAAGTACCGCAGGCCGAGAGTGATGTTTTAGAGATGAAGGGAGAGGACACCCCTGGCGGGTGGCGTACTGCTAGAGATGGAGTGGACAGGAACATCAGTGCAAGTTAGACGGGGCATGTGGCCGGCCAGAGACACACGGTAACCCGTGCTCGCATTTCAGAATTTAGAAATGCACGACCGCATGGAACATCTCATAGAGAAGCAGGTCAGTCACGGGAACTTCAGCACGCAGACCCGCGCCAAGACAGAGAACCTGGGCAGGTGAGTACATGCGGAGAGTGGGCCCGGCTGGACAGGAGAGAGCGGAGGAAACTTGTGGAGCCCTCAGTGCTGAGGAAGGAAGACTTAAACCCAGCTTTCTGCCCAGTCTGAGTTCATTCAGCAGGCTACTTTCTAGGCCGGGAGGACCATGCCTGGCTTCTGGAAGCATAAGAACCCCTGAGACTGTTTGTCAAATTTATTTATAATATTTGCACACTGCAGATTTGTACATATGTTTACATGTTTCTAGAGGAGGGTCTTTTGTTTCTAAGAGATTCACAGAAAGGCCTCAGATCTTGAGGGAAAATCAAGAACCTCAGCTATACCCACTTTTCAGTTGTTTAACTACCCCTGTCCTTGTCACCCTGGCCACCAGATAAATATGTCATGTCACAGTCTCTCCTCCATGTTACTGAAAGTCACTGCTTCGAGCTCTTAGAACACAAGAGATAAGTCAGCCCTGACGGGTAGCGTTGCAGAGGCACCGTGGAGGGGAGGCTCTGATGTGGCCACAGCAGCTCAGCCCTCAGTGTCTTCGCCTTTTTCTCCAGCGTCAGGATATCCAAGCCTCCCAGCCCCAAGCCTATGCCTCTCATCCGAGTGGTGGAAACCTGAGCTTCCGGGGATGGATGCCGCTGTTGCTGCTTGGACCTGCAGAGAAGCTCACCACCCCTGTAGGCTGTTGATACTGACTCTGACTTCCTGACCGTACCCTGGTGACCCCAGGTCTTGGGCTCTGGCCCCAGGCTCCTGTCCTCTGCTTGCTGGCAGGTGGAGCAGAAGCGTCTGTCTCCTCGGGACATTGCAGGCCTTGGGAAGACACTCTCCTGCTAGCAGGAACAGGACAATATCCTTATTCCCAGTTACCGTTTTTCCCCGTGTAACAGGGCCTCCCTGCTGTGTACACTGGAATCTAGCTGCCCCAAAGCCAGGCCCTCATCAAGTCCAGAGAAGTGACAAAATTTGTCTCAGCCCCCAAACGGATGTACAGTGATTGGAGCAAGTCCTGAGGGAGTCAAGTTCCTTCTGCAAACACGGCTCAGTTCTTAGCAACAAACTGTTTGTTTTTCTACTTGGCTCCACCCTTGTGCCCCCTGTCCAGGGGCCTCCCACAGACAGCCAGTGGAGGTAGCTGGCCAGGCCTGGTCTTAACCAGTGAACCTAAACTAGATAGCCTTGCCTTTCTAGGGACAAAGGAATGTCCATTCAGGGAGCAGGTTTTCAGCCGGAAGGTTCTTTAGGCCATGAATAGCTAAAGTGATTTCTCCCCGCTGTGGAAGCCCTCAGTCTTCAGGAGCTCCCCTGTGGTGTCCTGAAAAGCACACCTCAGTCTTCCCGACCCAGACCTAGAACTGCTTCCTCATCAGTCCCAGCGAAACCATCACTGTATTTATTTTGTTAAGTTATTGCTGGTTTTGCTTACATCTCGGAGTTGATTTAGTACCAGTGTTCTGCAGTCTCCTGCCGAGGTGTTTGGGCTCACCTGGACGTGGGGAGAGTGTTCCGGTTGGCTCCCCGGGCCTTCCCTCTAGCTGCTGCTTTTCCCTTCTTCCTCCTGGGTCTGTCCCCAAGTATAACAATCTGCAGTCTCCTGCAAATGTGTGCTGTCTGGGGAACAGGGCAACCGGGAGCCTCTCTGAACCCTTCCAGCCCGTAACAATCTGTATCCCAGCCCCGAATGACCCTGCAGCTCATTGCGTTTCCTGTAGTGTGCTCTAGTACTCTCAAGAGCATTCAAGCTCCTGAATGTGCGGCCATAGGAGCAGCTTGCAACCAGACGCCTTACATTTGTGTGTTTCTGTGTCAGGACCAGGCAGGGCCTGGCTTTGTCTGTACAGTATCCTGAGACTCCAGACAGTCTCTCCACAGAATGAGGGTGTGGAACATGATCTCCATGCCCCTTCAGATTCTTTCCCTGTCTGTGACACAGTCCTTGTATGGTGACTTTAATAAATTATGCTAATATGCCTCTTTGCTCCATGGGCCTAGTCTCCTTTTATTTCTTGGAGAGGATGAAAGAACATAATATACCATCTCTTGAAGGTGGCATCTTTTTGCCAACATCTGAGTTTTCCAACTCTCTCAGACTGTGATGTATGGGTGCTGTGAGATTTAGAAGTTACAAGCCACCAGGTCCCGTGGTCTCTAACCCTAGCTTTGACCCTGTCTGGGGCAGTGGCCTTGTGGAATCCTGAACTTGGCCATTCTGTGTCCTGATTTGGAGGAGCACTGCCCAGCGTTAAGGGTCCTGAGCCTGCGCAGAGGGACGCCAGTCACGGCAGAGGCAGTCACAGCAGAGCTACGTGAGGGGCTCACAGCCTCTGCAGAAGTGGCAGATCCCTGGAAATGCTGACCGCAACTCTTCAAGGCTTTATTAGTTTCTGGCAGTCTCTGGATATCACTGGGTTTGTAAAGCATTTGCCACACACACACACACACACACACACACACACACACACACACACCCATGTTTCTGTCAGGAAGCCAGTTGGCTGCAGGGCCAAACAAGACATAGCTGAATTTACACAAACTCTCCTGGGCCAAGGAAACGGGAAACAACACTCTGCTGTTGCCTGGCCCCTGCGGTTCCCCTTTCTCTTTCAACTGTGAATGTAGCTTTTCTTCCCCTGCTTCCTCAACTGATTCACGACTAGGGCATCAGTGTGCTCTGGAAACATTCCGCCCCAGATCTGGATCTGTCTCCTGACTCCCGGGCTCCTCTTGCCCTGACAGCCTTGCTTGGCACGGGTATATGCAGACTGCTTGTCTCAGGATATTAACAGGGTGGATAGAAGCAGGGTGGGGTTGGCGAGTGTGCCAAGAAGCCTGGCCTGGCTGGAGGAATGAGTGTGCTGCCCTGCAGGAAAGGGAGGCTCTGCTGCAGGGCCTGCTGGGCTCCATGGGAGGAGCAGAGATGTGGGGTACAGATAGGAGGTGGGCAGGAGACATTCTGGAGACCAGAAGCAAGGCTCTAAGAGATTCTTTAGACCAAAAGGAAAGGGTATGTGTATGGAGGGCATCTTTGGTGTCTGCTTCCTATGCCACTGTGTGCCGCTGCTAAGAAGAGCAAGGCCTAGGAGGATGCAGAGAGTGGCTGGGCAACCCTCAGCATCTGGACAGCTTCCAGTTAGAGATGGGGCTGAGGGGGTGGCAAGCTCCTGGCTCCAGCCGTCTTTATTGCCTGTGCTTTGTGGTGCTTTAAGCCAACTCCTGTGTGCTGCCGCGAGGTCTGCCTCTCTGGGACCTTCGCCATGAGGGTGTTGAGAGCTGCCCAGACACGCAGCCATCGTTGCCAGCCCCCTGTAAACGTGGGCCACAGGCCTGGAGTGGGAAAGGAGGCCCACAGGAGCACTTGCTCCAAGCCTTCACAACTGCCTGTCTTCCAGGTCTTCTATTGCCTTGCACTGAGCGGGAAAGAGCCAGGCAGCACATGCCGTTTTGTTCAGGCGGAGCAGGTTGGCCTCAGCTGCTTTGGAGGGCTGAAAATTTAAGGGCAGCCTAGTCAACTTAGTAAGACCCTGTCTCAAAAGTCTCAAAATAAATAAAAAAGAAAAAGAACCCTGATCGTGGTGGGCACGCCTTTAACCCCAGCACTCGGGAGGCAGAGGCAGGTTGATTTCTGGCCAGCCTGCTCTACAGAGTGAGTTCTAGGCCAGACAGGTTCCTAAGGTTCAAAGATGATTTGTTCATTTTTCTTTGTGTCTCTGTTTCTTTGGTCTCATTATGTAGCTCAGGCTAGCCTCATAGTCACCATCCTCCTGCTTTTCCCACCCCCACTCCACGTGCTGGGATTTCAGGTGTGCACCACCACGCCTGCCTGGCTTTGTCCCTGTTTTAAATCACTGTTCACGGTTCACCGTTGCACCGTGAAATGTTCCCACACTGAGAAGGTAACTTACTCTAACGGGACAGGCTGATGCTCTGCATCGGAACAACCGTGTTCCCCCCTCGTCAGCTCCTGGTTCTGAGCAGCTGTTTTCTGTGGGGCCTGTGTGATCGTGAGTTCTCTGCTTCCTCAGAGCCACACTGCTGAGCTGGTGCCTGCATCTGTCTGTTCAGGCTATGACTCACCAACAGCTGTTAGCCTAGGGCCCTTGGCCTCTTTTCCACGCTTTGGTTTAGAGCTTTGACTTTGCAAGGGGCAATTGTTCCCTCTGCCCTGTCCCAATTATAAGCACGTGACCTTGAAACTCAAAAGCTGGAGACCCAGATATCTCCCCTTTCCCAAGGAAAATGCATTTCCAGACTGAGGATGAAAGAGGCCGTTCCTAGAAGTAAGTACTTTTGGGCCCCTGAGGCTGACTTGGGACTCTAAGATGTGTGTAACCTTTATGCTAGAATCTCTTTCCCTGGAACTCTGTGGACAAAGAGATTGAGGGTAGATGGCGGCAGGATAATTAATTTCCCCACAGGGCGCTGGTCACCAAGTCTTAAACCACAGGACCTCAGAGCACTGAAGGAAGGAAATCATTAGTCCTTATGACCTGAGCTGTCACAGGGCTGGCTCTTTCCTCCCTGTCACTGGGGTTCTGGGCCCTCTGTCTGTCCTGTAACTTTTGATGTGGTTTTTCGTTTTAACTGACATGCTATGTAAAATACATTATTGGGGGGGTGGAATTTTTGCAAAACAATGGCCAATAAAAAAAAATGGACTTCTCTCCTTGGCTGTATAATCTCAGGGTCAGGAGGCCTGTAATCAGTTTTCATCCACTCTGTCCCCCTTTACAATCTCTCCCTTCCTCCTTCTTTTCCTCCCTTCATCTCTCCCTTCCTTCCTTTGACAGGGTCTCATGTAACCCAGGATGATCTTGAACCCTGATTCTCCTCCTATGTCAGCCTCCTATGTGCTACAACAACAGGTGTGAGCAATTGAGCGCATCAGACTTCAGTTTCTCTGCCTTCTCTTAGTAGAATCATAGCCCATCACACTAGACATTTTCAGCCAGTTTTGACTCCTCTTTCCATTTCATAATCTAATTATATCTGGGTTGTCAACATGCCAAAGTTCCCTCTATTGAAAAATCTCCCATGTGGACTGATCCATGGTAACAACCCACCCTTAGCCAGTCTCCTTAAGGCCGGATTACTCCTGAAGCCGTGCCTTGCTGCCTTGTCTCTGGTTACCATCAAAGATGTATTAGAACCTTGTCTAAAAGTACCAAGTACTTGCCTAAGGCAGCTCACTCACAGCTGCCTGCGATTCCAGCTTCAGAGGATCTGGTGCCTCCGGCCTCTGCGCACAGACCCACACACATAATTGCAAATAATAAAAGTAAGTCTTTTAAGAAAAGAAAATACGGAGGTTGTTATTGCTAGGGGATGGAGAAAAGAGGTAAAGGAAGAATTTTAGCAATAAATAAGGGGCTGGAGAGATGGCTCAGAGGTTAAGAGCACTAGCTGCTCTTCCTAGAGGTCCTGAGTTCAATTCCATACATGGTAGCTCACAACCATCTGTAATGAGATCTGGTGCCCTCTTCTGTCATGGAGGTAGAACACTTGAATACATAATAATTAATAAATCTTAAAAAAAAAAAAAGAAAAGGAAGAAAAACCCACCCCTTTTACATGTTGAATCAAGTGCCATAGGACAGCGCTGTGTGGGGTGGGTGGGCTCCAGAATCTTGTTGGGTAGCTGAGGCTTTGGTGAACCTCTCAGTGTCTCTGTCTGAGGCAGTAAGACATCTTTTATTTCCCAGGTTAATTGTAGTGACATTTTCCCCGAACTGTCTCCTACCTTATTATCCCACCTAACATGAGATCTCCAAGGGCAGGACCACACTTGTTTTACAGCCCTTCCTAAATCCTCCAAGGCACAGTGCCCCCCCAAGGGGGAGGCGCTTAATGAATATGTACAGAAAAAAAGAACTGTGACCTGTCTTGAACTATCCTGACCATGAATTCCGTGGATCCTTAGTAATCCTTGTTTATGTTTATCAACTAAATGTTGCCACTGACTTTTTTTGTGTATGCGTTGGTGTTTTGCCTGCACGCATGACTGTGTGAGAGTGTCAGGTCCCCTGGAACAGGAGTTACAGATGGCGGTGAGCTGTCATGTGAGTGCTGGGAATTGAACCTGGGTCCTCTGGAAGAGCAGCCAGTGCTCTTAACCACCGAACCATCTCTCCAGCCCCAGCCACTGTCTTTTTAACTTCATTACTTAAAAATAATTTAAAAACTCAGTTTGGGCTAAAATGTTCCTTTGTGATCTTGATAAAAGCATTTTTTATTTTACTTTATGTGTACAGTTGGTTTGCCCGCATGTGTGTCTGTGCACCAGTCCCCTGGAGCTTGAGTTGTCTAATGTCCTACTATTTGTCAAGCCTACCTCTCTGTCAAAGGGTTTGCTTTGCTTTCTGTGTGGTTCTCAGACCCAGGGCTTCATACACTTGAGGCAAAGGCTCTACAAAATGAGGTGTGTCCCAGTGTCTTTAAGCTTTGCTATTTTTTCCCTGCTTATTTTTCCAGATTAATTTTAAATAATTATATCCTAACTCTATAGTATATTGAGTTCACTGTAACTGCACAGCCAAAAAATAGATAAATTTAAAAAATTAAACAGCTTCATAAATTGGTTGTTCCCATCCAAGGAAACTTTTTGGTTTTGTTTTAAAATTGTGTGTGTGTGTATGGTTTGGGGAAGCAAGTTAAATTATCATTGTATATCAGATTACAAGTATAAATTAAAAGACATATAATGAACCAAATTTTTCTTTATATAGCATTTTAAAATATAATCTCATTTTAAATGAAATTGTATGTGTACAGTTACACTCGTAAGTATGCTAGCTAAGTCAACAATTGTACAGCAATGAGAAATAAAGGGGCAAAGGTAAGCGTAAATGAACATTCCTGAGTTCCCTTGTCTCGATGAACATCAAAGCCAGCCAACCTTAGCTCATATTCACTCCCTGCCTGCTAATTCCTAGGCATTTAAAAAGAAGTATCTGTTGTTGAGACAGGGTCTTACTGTGTAGCCCTGACTAATTTAGAACTCTCTATGTAGATCAGGCCTGCCTCTAACACACCCCTGCCTCCCGAATGCTGCAATAAAGGTGTGTGGCGCCACGACAGGTTCTGATTTTTCTTTTCTTTCTTTCTTTTTTTAAAGATAGGGATTCTCTATTTTAGCCCTAGTTGTCCTGGCAGAGGCAGGCAGATCTCTGTGAGTTTGAGGCCAGCCTGGTCTACAGAGCGAGTTCCAGGACAGCCTCCAAAACAATACAGAGAAACCCTGTTTTCAAAGCAAAACAAAACAAAAACACAATGTTGTTGGGTTGGAGAAATGGCTAACTGGTTAAGAGCACTGGCTGCTCTTCAACATTTGATTCCCAGCATCCACATGGTGGCTCACGACGGTCTTCAGCTCCAGCCCCAGGGGATCTGACGCCCTCTTCTGGCCTCTGAGGGTACCAGGCATGCATTCTGTGCACATACATATAGGCAAAACACCCATACACATACAATACAATGATAAAGAATTTTGTCTACTGTCTTAGTTGATCCCAGAGGATGAGAAACAGATAGCTTGTGTGTCCCAGTATCCTCCTTATGGAAGAGTCAAATGGCAGGCACCAGCAATGAAGAATCTCATCTGTCACCTGCCCTTGCATTTGGTCACCCAGCAGTAGTGAGACTGTGTAGCATGGAGCTGAGAGAGATGTGACGGGCTTGCTCGTCTTATGTCTTCTTTACCAGCCACGCTAGTTGGAAACATTAGTAAATGTACTGAACTAGGCACCATCGTTTCCCATTTGGCAGATGAAGAAGCTGGGACGCAAAGCGAGCAAGTCCTGTGTCAAAGGACAGACAGACGACAGACAGACAGACAGTGTGGACAGAGCTGGGTCACAGGCAGTCTGGCCTCGTAGCCCAGTGTTCAATGCTGTGCTTTATTCCCCCATGGCTGAAGCAATGGTGTGTACAAAAACATATGTAAAGGGGGGCTGGAGAGACGGCTCAGTGGTTAAGAGCACTGGCTGCTCTTCCAGAGGACCCGAGTTCAATTCCCAGCACCCACTGGCAACTCACAACTGTCTGTAACTCCAGTTCTAGCTGACCTGGCATCCTCACACAGACATATATGCAAGCAACATCAATGCACATAAATAAAAATAAATTAATTAACTAAAAAAAGCATATGCAAAGGGACTGGAGAGATGCCTTTGTGGTTCAGAGTACTTGTCCAGTTCCTAGCACCCACATGGTGCCTCACTATCATCTATAACTCCAGTTCCAGATATTCTGAAGCCCTCTTCTGGCCCCTATGGGTACTGCACATGTGTAGTAAATAGATCTTTTTTTTTTTTTAAGCCGTGTGCAAGGACCATGTGTAGCATAGAGCATGTCTGGCACACTGTGGACACTGAATACATGAGTTATTATGACTAAATATTTCTGAGAATTAAATGTGTTAAATATGGCTATAGGGTTACAAGGGAAATTCAGAAAACCTGTCCTTAAATTGCTATTAATCTAAGTAGTGCCATGAGATATCTGTATGCCAACAGGCAAGCAGTCACATGCACACTTCTGAAGGAAAACTCAGAAATAATACAGTCCAGCTTTAAGGAAACAGAGCATGAAGATGGGTGCCGGTAAGGGTGGGCGTGGCTATGGGTGGGCGTGGACAAGTGTGGGCTACTTTAAGTTAAGTTGGGACAAGAACAGGATCCGCAGTAGAGGGCTTGTTCTTGTAGGAAGAGCAGAAGAGAAGTGTCTACCCTGAGCTGGCATAGCTTAGAGTCCTGAGATGTGGAGAGTGAAATGCAGAGATACCCTGCTTTCCCAAGCCCCTCCTGAGCCTTTTGGCTCACCTGGCCCACCTAAATTCACAGTTCTTTGTGTGTGTGAGGGCGCTGGGGACCGAGCCCGGACCTCACACATTCTGGGCAGAGCTTTGCTACTAAGCTGCGTCCCCAGTGAGCCCACATTAATTTTTTTTTTCCTTTGAGGCTTTATTTCCAGGTGCATTAGTGTTTCGCTTGCATGTATGTCTGTGCACCACGTGTGTGTAGTGTCCTCAGAGGCCAGCAGAGGGCGACAGATCCCCTGGGACTGGAGGTTCAGATGGTTGTCAGTCACCATATGGTGCTGGGAATTGAACTTGGGTGTGCTGGAAGAACAGCTAGTTCTCTTAACCACTAAGCCTTCTCTCCAGCCCCTTGTGTGTTTTTTTTTCCTTTTTTAAGATGGGGGGGGGCGCGCACGCCCGCTCCATGCATGTGCACCTATGTACATAAAAAGGCAGGTGCCTGCAGAGGCCAGAAGGGGGCACTGGATCTCCTTGGAGTTGGAGTTACAGGTGGCTGGGAGCCCCTGACACCGGTGGTGAGAACCCAGCTCCAGTCCTCTGCCATGGCAGGAAGGAAGCACTCATAACTGTTGAACGCCCCTCCAGCCCTCGAGTCCCGAGTTCTTCAGTGCCATTGTGTCTTTTGAAGAGGTGACCATTTCTCCTTGCCTGTCCTCTAATGAGTGCGCGTGGGCTCCGTGCCTGACTCTTTCTCTAACCTCACTGTGTCCTTACTTGAAAGTTCTAACCCCTCCCATTCTCTCCAAAAAACGGTGGTGCAGGGAGAGCTAATGTCCTCTCAATAAAGAGTTTTGTGAGCCACTGGAGGGACTCTGCACCCCAGGTTGAAACCAGTAGAGGGCAGCATGTCCTTGAGCACCTGGGCAGGTGGCCACTATGAGCCCCGTAGGACAAGCTGGAGGTCTCAGGAGTTAAAGCAAAGGGCAACAGCTGAATTAGGATGTTTTTGCAAATTAGGTGCAGCACCAGAAGAAAAACGTAAGGCATAAAAAGAATTTGGATTGTAGGAAAGTAAATGTTTTCTGTTTTGTTTTTAATTTGAACACATCTCCCTGTCCTAGTTTTGGTTGCTTACTTGTGTCATCAGAGGCAGACCGTTGGGCACATTTTAGAGGCTGGTATCCATTTTGGTAAAATGGAAACTGATTTTAAGATCTCATTTGTAACTAGACAGGACGGGACACGCCTGCAGTCCTGCGGGTGGAGGCAGAAGGATGCGGAATTCAAGGACATCCCAACTACATATCAAATCGGAAAGCAGCTGGGTTGTGTGATACTCTGTCTCAAAACAGCAACAAAAAAGATCTCATATACACCTGGCAATGGTAGTGCACGCCTGTAATCCCAGCACTCAGAAGGCAGAGGCAGATGGAGCTCTGAGTTTGAGGCCAGCCTGATCTACAGAACAAGTTCCAGGACAGGCACGGCTACACAGAGAAAAAAAAGAAAGAAAGAAAAATCTCATTTATAAGACTTGGTGTTTAACCTCCTTTGAAAGTCCCTGGAGAAATGCCAGTTCATTTGCTCATATTAAATAAGTTTTTGCTCATGAGAGAATTGGTTCTGGAAGTTTCCAGAAAGCTCTGTTAAGCCATAGACTTTCCCCCTTTTTTTCTAGAGAGAATGGTGTAGCTGGGATTCTCGTGTGCTCACTGGATGAAGATCACCAGCCTGAGCATGCTCAGGGGAAAACTCAGTGTGGGTGGTAAGGAAGGCTGGGGGCTGGCATGGTTTACCCTGCCAGCATGTGGTAAGGCGGCTCACTAGTCTGAACCCTAGGTCCCACTTCTCTCAAAATGTATCAACTGTTACATTTGTATAATCACAAGCTGCCTGAGGACTCAATCTGGGTGTGGTGGCACACACATAATTATATGCCAGCACCTGAGGGAGTGAGGGATAGAGGATCCAGAGAGTAAGGTTGGGGGCTGGAGAGGTGGCCCAGTGGTTAAGAGCATATGTTGCTCTTACAGAGGACCTGAGTTCAGCTCCCACTATCCATATAGGGTAACTCACAACTGCCTTTACCTCCAGCTCTAGGACACCCAACACCTTCTACTGGCCTCTATGGGCACCCACACTCATGTGTGCAAACATGCACATACACACACACCAAGAAAACCACACATTAAAAAAATACATTTTTTTAGCCTGGTGGTGGTGACACATGCTTTTAGTCCCAGCACTTGGGAGGCAGAGGCAGACATATCTCTGTGAGTTCAAGGTCAGCCTGGTCTACATAGTGAGTTCCAGGACAGCCAGGACTACACAGAGAAACCCTGTTTCAAGAAAACAAAAACAACAACAACAAAACAAAAACAAAAAATACGTGTTTTTTGAAAAGGGAGTTCCAGCTTGGGCTAGGGGCTCAAATCACTTGTCTTCTGCCCTTCACATGAGCACGTTCACTCCCAGATAAAGGATGAAATGGCAAACACCTGCTCAAAAGGCAGGACCACTTGAGATCGATGCCCGGAACCCACGGAAAAGCATAGAGAAGCAGCTCCACAAAGTTGTCCACAACTACGCTGCCTTGTAATCTCGTAGAGACCCACGGAACCACGGAACAGACTTAAGGATGTGATGGATGCATAGACAGATAATGTTGCTCACTCAGCAACAACGTGCTCTCCTTCCTCCCCAGGCCATGGAAATGTGAAGCTGAGATTAAGTCTTACTCACTCTGGTGTCTGGACTTCTGCTACTGTGCGGGTTGTTTTCTGAGATACCAAATATCTTTCCTCACTCTTCTCTGCTGTATGTTTTATCTTCTTCCAATCCCTACTCAGAGGCCAGGAGAGACAGATAGTTTGGTGAGGGGGTGGGGGGATCTTTTGCTAAGGCTAGTGACCCGAGTTTGATCCTGGGGATCCTTGTGATGGAGAGAACTGACTCTTAAAAACTGTGCTTTAAATAGTGTAGAGACCACCTCGAATGCCTATTCCTGATAGTGAACTTGATGTCTATAATGATCCTGGAGCCTTCATCCAGTGACTGATGGAAGCAGAGGCACAGTTAAACACTGAACAGAACCCAAGGAACCCAGCGACAGAGAGAGAGGATCGAAGAGCAAGTTGGCAAAGAATGTGCTGGCAAAACCAGCAAAGACAGCTGATCCAAACAGGGGAGAGCTCTTGGACCCCAGACCGACAGCTGGGAGGCCAGCATGGGACTGATCCAGACCCCCTGAATGTGAGAGTCAATGAGGAGGCCTGGGCAACCTATGGGGTCCTGAGCAGTGGATCAGTGTTTATCCCTCGAATAGTAACAGACATCGTGTGTCCATAACACAAAGAGCGATGCTCTCTCAACCTGGACTCTTGGGGAGGTGCCTGGACCCTACCCTGAATGAAATGATAGACTCTAGATATCCCCTATGCGGAAGGAATTGGCAATAGGGTGGGAGGATGGGGGGGATGGAGGGTGCAGGAGGACGGGAGGGAGAGGGAACTGGGATTGACAAGTAAAACAAGCTATTTAAATTTTTTAAAAAACTGTGCTTTAACTTCCACACTGACACTATAAATCAAAACAAACAAAACCATGGAGCAACAAAGCAAAGGGGAGACTTGCTTGTTACCAAGGCAGGCGACTTGAATTCAATTCCTGGGACCCATATGGTAGAGAGAAGCCATTCTCAAATGTTGCCTTCTGACCTCCACAGATGCACATGGCAGGAACACACCTCCCAAACAAACAAATAAGGTTAAAAACAAACAGTCCTACAGAGTAACGGCATATGGCATATGCCTGTAATCCCAGTTCTGGAGAAGAGAAGGCAGCAGGGACAGGAGTTCATGGTCAGCCTTGGCTACATACTAAGTTGGAAGCTAGCTTAGGCTACATGAAACCAGTCTCAAACACCAAAACTAAGGGCTGTGGATGCAGTTCGATTGATAGAGTGCTTGCCTAGCTTGCACAAAGCCCTGGGTTCAGTTCCCTAGCACCCCCTAAAACCAACCTATGTGACAAGTTTGAGGCTAGCCTGGTATAAATGAGACCCTTTTTCAAAAACCAAGGGCACCCAAACAGCTGGTACCTGTTGGTGAATCACGGCTCCCCAGGATGTCAGACAGTGTTTATCACCCTCCTCTTCTCCGGTGTCCCCTCAGCACCCGGCACACAGTCTCCCACTCTACAGTACCTGTCTGTCGGTCATCTTGTCTGCCTCTAGCCAGGCTGAGAAGACCTATATGGCAGGGGTTGACTGTCTCCCTGTGCCGGCTCCGGTCCAGTGCCTAGCGGCTGGTGGGTACTGCACCAGTGTTAGATGAACCGCCGTGAACTCGTCTGTGACTGGCAGGGTGTTTTACAAGGCGGATGTCCTGGATCACTGAAGAAAAGATAATGGCTCCTGGAGCGAGCCCTGAGGCTCTTGCCTGGCACCAGGAGCTGAATGGAGAGAACTGAGTGCTGAAATTTAATGTCTGTGCCCTGGAGGGCACATATTATTTAGAAATGATGGAGCTGGGTAGGGTGGCTGGCACCTGTAATCCCAGCCAGTTGGGAGACACAGTGGTTATGAACTCCAAGCCAGCCTAGGCTATGTAGTGAGAGTGTCTCACAAACCACAACCAAGTGCCAGATTAGTGGTGACATAGTAAGTTCCAGGCCAGTCAGGGTCACATGGTCTCAGAAAACCAGCACCAAACAGAGCAGAAAACTTGATAGAAGTTGAATGAAACATATTTTACACCAGAAGATGATTAAATGAACTGAACTTTTGAGGTGGGGTGGGGTGGGGGCTGGAGAGATGGCTCAGTGATTAAGAGCACTGACTACTCTTCCAGAGGTCCTGGGTTCAATTCCCAGCACCCACATGATGGCTCACTAACTAAAGCTGGGCAGTGGTGGTACACACCTTTAATACCAGCACTCGGAGGCAGAGCAGGCAGATCTCTGTGAATCCTAGGCTAGCCTGGTCTAGAGAGAGAGAGTTCCAGGACAGGCTCCAAAGCTACATAGAGAAACCCTGTATACAAAAACAAAAACAAAAACAAAACAAAAAACACCCAACAACAAAAACCTTTCTCAGAGTGTGAGTGAGCTCTATGGCTTGAGTTCGAGGGGCTTAGTCAATGATATTTCCTAGGAAAATTGTCTGGAATTACTGGATTGAAGTAAATAGGCAATCTCTAATTCCAGGTTTATAAACTAGGGCCAGATAGGTCTTTTGTTCAGCTTTGGGCAGGGGACATAGGCTGGGTTTCAGCAGGGTCCTCTGGAGTGTCCTGGAGCTCCCTGAGAGTGCCTGTTGGGTCAGATCCTCGCTGCCATTCTGAGTATGGCTCACACAGCTTTGCCTCATTGTAGGAGTGAACCCCACAAAGCTATCCGCCCAACAGGGCGGGGTCAAGGTAGATAAAAGGAAGGAAAAGGAAAAGGGTCTTCCCTTTTCTCCTGGAAACCAGCCATGCTTCTAACTCCTGGTCTGTGCTTCTCTCCATTCTTCTGTTTCTAAAATTCCTTTAAAGCTTTTGTCATTCTACGTGGAAATTCAATCCCGCTTCTGACAACCATTCTGTAAAGGAGAAGCTTTTTCCTTGAGAGGAGCCTTCCCGCCCACCTGGTTCTAGATCCACATCAGTCCCAAATAAACACACAGGAGGCTATATTAATTATGAAGCTATTGGCCTTGCTTGTTTCTTACTGGCTAGCTCTGACTTAAGTAATTACCCCATAATTGTTAATCTAAGTATTTCTTTTACCAGAGAATAGTTCCGGCCTTCCTACCTCCATGGCATTACATCTTGACTCCCTTGTGTTTCTCCTTCCCAGAGTTCTCCTGGACTCCTAGTCCCTCCTATCTAGATTCCCTATAGGCCAGACAGTGCTTTATTGCCAAATGCACAGGACTTCCCCAACACCTCATGAGCAAACTTCTGAGGGACTGTAGACATTAATACATATATGTTGTCAGTAAATAGACTTTTCGAGAACTGAAAACACCCACCCAGGCATTGTGCCCGGGCTTCTTTGTGGCTCAGAGACTTCCTCTCTGCCTGCCTGTCCCAAAGTTTCTTGGCATAGATATGAAGTGAGCCAGCTGTGTTGAAAGGGGACAGAAAACAAAGGAAAAAATGAACAGGTGGACTTCAAGGGGAATTGGAAGTGAATATGACAGTTGATTCCATTCTGCATACAACATTCCCTTACAGTGCTTTTGTTATTGTTATTTAAAATTTTAAGGGTGGTTCTTGCATTGCATTTCAGTCAAAACTGAAACTGTAATTGGGTATGGTAAGCACTCACCTGTAATCCCAGGACCTGTAAAGCTGAGGCAAAGAATGTGAAGCCATTGAGAACCCATCTCAAATAAGAATAATAATGATAATGATAATAATAATAATAAACTCTAGGGATGGAGAGATGGCTCTGTGGTTAAAAAGCACATGCTGTTCTTCCAGAGGATCTGGGTTCAATTTCTACCTCCCATGTCATGTGACTAGCAATCACTTGTAACTCTAGCTCCAGGGAAACCTAATGCCTCTGGCCTCTGTTGGCACTGTATTCATACACATATTTACATAGAGACCCACACACATACACACA